TGATCGCGTCCGTCGCATTTACAGAGAAATAATCACGTCAATTATAAAATAGAAATTGACATTATTTTGTTATATTTTGATGATTTTTGTTATCTTCTTTACTCTTTTAAGTTTGTTATTAATATTTTGTATTTATATAAGTATCAGTATTTTTATTTTGGAAGTGCCTCCGCTGCCAGCGCCGGTTGCCAAAAATATCACTATTGGAAACCGGCGGTAAGTATACTGCCGAGATTTAAAACAACGGCTGCCGGCGCCGGCACTCAAAATGGCAGCCGGTGACAATGCGCAAAAGGCTGGGTTCCAGTGCCGGTAAACAAATATAAAAAAAAAACATAACCTCAAAGATTCGACTTTGTTCTTTATTTAGTTTCATTAGTTTGTGCTGTTTGTTGTATTTATTCTATTTGTCTTAAGCTTATCGTTACGGTTTGGAAAAATGAAAGTCGGTGACGAATATAGGTTAGGTTAGGTTTTTTTTTTTAAAAAAAAAGGTTAGGTTAGGTTAGGGCCGGTTACCGAATAGGCTACCGGCGCCGGCAGCCTGTCCGGCAACCGGCGCCGGCAGCGGAGGCACTCCCTTTTATTTTTCATAATCTTTGGTTTGTGTGCCAATTGCCAAATAAATGTATTTTCTTTTTTCTTCATCTTTCACTTTCTAGTTTACTACCTCGAAAATTTCGATAAACTCCATACAAACTTCCACACAGAAAGAGAAAAAGTATCCCACATCACTCTCCATGCCTTCAACTATCTTCATTTAAAAATCACGTCAATCATGGCTCCACTCTGCCGTGAAAGACGGACAAACAGACAGACATAGGTATGGGTGATTGATATAGGGAAGTAAACACAGGATTTTTTTATATACAAGTATTATTATCAGTTAAGCACTATCATTTATTGTTGACCATTTCAAGTTTTAAGTATCTTACATTAATGGCGATCCATGTAATGGATGCGAACAGGCGAACTTCGCCTATATGCTAGATTTTGCTCTGAATTCATACACATACAAGGTGTAATACAAAAGAATTTGGAAATTTAAACCATGAAATTGGAGAATTACATTTATGTTTTTATAATAACTGCGTGCGCGGTCGCGGCTTAGTAGGCTGCGCGACATCGCCGCGACCGCGCACGCTGCTATGAGGAAGAACCCCTCTGTGGTTCGAAACTAGTAGAGCTTTTCTCAGTATATTCACGTGAGTAATTACATTTATGTTATAACTTTCGTGAAACATACTAAACCCATGGGGTACTTTCCTTCATCAAAAATAAATAATTGAAACTGTTCAATACAATATAATATGAAAAAATAATCACACTTTCATTAATTGATTCCATGACCAATTAAATTTTAGTATATTTCCAGCAATTTATTCAGAATTAAGTATGTTGTTTGACGCTAAAAAACATGACGTCACAATACACAATCTCGTACAAAATTCATAGAAAACTCGTTTTTGACAGTTCGAAAAAAGTATTGAATTCGACTAATTGGCAAGTACCATAAAATTACATATTATTATAGATATACTTGAGCCCTCTAGCATGGCTTGAAACTAGTCGAGTTCCTCGTCAAATAACTACATAAGCCGCGAAACATAATTATAATTACATTTTTCATTTTAAACATAAGATAACATAACGCTTTTTATCCCCGAAGGGATAGGCAAGGGCATATTGTACAGAGGCATTCTGCCTCTGTACAATATAACACCCACTTTTTCACTATTTATGTTATGAATCCCATGTAATAGTGGGTGAGCCTATTGCCATATACCGGGCACAGTTCCAGACTCCGTGCTACTACTGTGAATTTTATTAAAAACCCAGTAATACTTTGCCCGACCCGGGAACCGAACCCGAGACTCCTTGCCCGGCAGTCGCACTTGCGACCACTCGGCTAATGAGGCAGTCATTTTAAAAGGTAACAAAAAATTATCAGTCTGCAAATTGTCTTACTGGTCCAAGCCATCTTCATCTTCTCACACGGAGAAGGTTTGATCATTAATCACTACGCTTGCTCAATGCGGGTTGGCGATTACAAACTTATAATTACAAATTATAAGCCCAGGTTTCCTCACGATGTTTTCCTTCACCGTATGTCAGTGGTGTCTAAATAATCTTAGAAAGTATATATAACTCGGAAAAAGTCACATTGGTACTTTCATAATTAAAATAGATTAAAAAATCATGATATGTATCCTTACTAATATTATAAATCGGAAAGTGAGTTTGTTTGTTTGTTTGTTCCGACTTCACGCCGTAACTACTAAACCGATTGCATTAAATTTTTGCAGACGTAAAGTTGGTAGTCTGGATTAAATAATAGGGTACTTTTTATCCCGAAAAAAATTGATATTCCCGAGGGAAAACAAAAGTATTGGTATAGATGGCGCTGTATGTATTGGTATATGTCACATAGGCTACTTTTTATCCTTTTGTGACGCGAGCGAAACCGCGGGTAAAAGCTAGTTTTAAATAAAACCGAAACGCATCATTCAATTTCATGTATTTTCTGCAACACATATCATTTATTCTATTACACCTCATATTTATCTAAAACCTGTTCAGCTGTTTAGGAGAGCCCAACAGACAAAAAATGCAGTTATATTTCAAAAAATAAATCTAGGAACAAATGCAACCAATACCGTGCTTCTATTGTGTACTTAAAACTACTGCAGTTAGGAAAAAAATACCATTTCCTGACCCGAGAATCGGACCTCGGACTTAGCGTTCAATACCCGTTAGTAGTCGACTAACTGGCGAAATTAATATTACATAACACCACGCCTTTTATCCCCGCAGGGTTAGGCAGAGGTGCAAATTACGGCACTTAATGCTACTGTACAATGTAACACCCACTTTTCACTATTTATGTTATGAGTCCCATGTAATAGGGGGTGAGCGTATTGCCATATACCGGGCACAATTCCAGACTCCGTGCTACTACTGAGATTTTTTAAAACCCAGTAATACTTTACCCGCCCCGGGAATCGAACCCGAGACCCCTTGCCCAGCAGTCGCACTTACGACCACTTGGCCAACGAAATTAATATCGATTTCAATTTATTATACTGTACCCCTCTCATGAAGAGGAGAGTGGGCTATCATAGACTGTAATAATAATTAACACAACGTATTAACATAATATAAAGGCAACTAAAATTACATAAATATATATGTATTTTTCAAAATATTTCGGAAATACTCCTACATACCTAGTACCTAAGATAGGCACTAATAGGTAGTCTATATAAGAACCTAATTTAATACAACATTGTAACTAGCTTCGACTAAGACTTTCGATGATTTTAACTCTTAATATGATGAGATGTATCTGTAAAGAAAGAAAGAATATTTAATACATTTGTAAAGAAATTGAAGTTAAAACTGTAAAGGAATTTTGTTTATAACGAAATAAACGAACAATGAAGATGGATAAGCTTTGTTTCGAATTCACCATACTACCCGGGAGTGATTTAAAATCGAATATCTGTTGTCTAACCTCCAGAAGGAATTGGGTTGTCTTAAAAGAAAATGGGGTAGACGACTAATTTTTATTTTAATGTCCGTCTGATAGATTATTTAAAAACATTAGACACGTATTTTTTATTTTCTCACAGAAACGAATAGTTTCGAAGATATATTGATTTGAAATGTCGCGTGACGTCACTTCTCAGTACATTTTATACTAAGGAATGACGTTTTAGCCCCCACTCCTAAACTTTGATTCGTTTTATCTAAGTATTGTTTTATTATACGACAAAATAAAAAAATACGTGTCTAATATTTTTTCATTACCTAACTTACGGACTAATTATATTTTTAATTTTCATACCCTGTCATCATCCCCATTTGCCCATGGAAAATGCTAATATTTAGAAAAGAAATTGTTAATTGTTGAAAATTGAAGTTAAAACTGAGGAATAAACTTTAAAAGTCGTTTCTTTGATTACAGGTAAATAGATAAAGTTGTAATTTAGTTTATTTAATGTGTTCATGTTTTTAACAATAAATTTTTGATTACAGAGCAACGCAAGTTTATTTTCTTTATAAAAATCAGACTGAAAGAGTCTTATATATTTATTTAAAATACTCTAAAATTATATATATTTTTAAATACTACTTCAAAACACAAAAAATCATATTCAAAAATATAGAAAGCAGCCGACTTGTAGCGAGAGCATGGTCCAAGCTACCGCTGGTTAGAGCTCGCACATTTTTGCGATACGACGTCGCATCGCAAAAATGTGCGAGCTCCCTCTACGCATCGCAAGAACTTGCGAATTGATTCGCATCGCGCATCACAATCTTATCTTTCCAAAATCTTCTTTGTTTCTTTTTCCTGTATCTCCTAAGCAATAACAGAAGTGCATACTCCTTTTTACGATCCATGTCACGACTTAGTTTTCACTTTAAAATACGTTTAATACGATTGACGGTCGTTGAAGGAATGGTCACCTTGGGAGACGCCTTGTCGCACGAAATCGCATCGCAGCGTAATTTTCTGTGTTGCGAATTCGCATCGCATCGCATCACATTTTTGTATACGAGCCCTTAGGGCGCCAGAGACAGAAACTTCCTCACGATACATGTCGTTTTTGGGGCCGTGGGGATCATGAAGCCGACTTCCATGACACTCATGGGAGAGCAGGTCCGGTGGACCCGGGAATCGAACCCAAGACCCCTTGCCCGGCAGTCGCACTTACGACCACTCGGCCAACGAGGCAGTCATAATAGAAAAAAGTAGTACATAATAATATTTTTATATTAACTATCGTAAGACATACTAAATTAACTAAAAATCGCGGGTTACTCAAGTGAGTACACGACATTGCCGCCACCGCGCACTCTGCTCAAGAGAAAGAACCCCTCTGTAGTTCGAAACTAGTAGAGCATTTCTCAGTATATTCACGTGAGCAACCCGCGATTTTTAATTAACATACCTAATAATATTTTTATGAATCTAACTATAAATAAATAAGTCACCTTCAACACGTAGTAGCACCATGTTCTTCCTCTATGTGTTTCCGGAACACAGACCTCGACCCGGATTCGAACCCGCACGCGCCACACACTAGCACATCAGCCGCTTCTACCTCTTCCGTGTGTAAGTGTACTGTGTCTGTAACAAATACCACAAAAATTGTAGACATATATCCTTACTAATACATATTATAAATCGGAAAGTGAGTTTGTTTGTTCCGCTTTCACGCCGTAACTACTCAACCGATTGCTTTGAATTTTTGCAGACGTAAAGTTAGAAGTCCGGATTAAATAATAGGGTACTTTTTATCCCGGAAAAATTTGATATTCTCGAGGGAAAACGAAATTATTGGTATAGATGGCGCTGTATGTATTGGTATATGTCACATAGGCTACTTTTTATCCATTTGTGACGCGAGCGAAGCCGCGGGTAAAAGCTAGTATATATATATAAAAGAAAGTCGTGTTAGTTACACTATTTATAACTCAAGAATGGCTAAATCGATTTGGCTGAAAATTGGTGGGGAGGTAACTTAGAACCAGGAGATGGACATAGGATACTTTTTACCCAATTCTTTTTTTTACTTTTTACCGAAAATCAAGAACGGGAACGGGAAATATCGGGATTGCGCGTACGAAGTCGCGGGCAGAAGCTAGTTATTAATATAGATTAGTTCAGTACTTACGATTCTCTAGATGTTTTTCTTGCACATGTTTCATTAGCTGAAACAGAATTAAAAAACGGTATCAGTAAAAGTTAAACTAAAATAAAAATATTTAAATATTTGTTTGTTTGGCATCTCGTAAATGAGATATTTAACGAAAATACACCATGAAATCTATTTCATTTTCGTCTCGAAAGTAAAATGGTTCTGTTTTCGTAATACAATAGTTTTACAAACAAATAAAATGTTTAAAACAAAAACTAACTGGTGAACAATTGCAAAAAGCAAACTTCGAAAGCGCATACGAACTCATAGTATAGTACATTATCAAAACATCACGCCATGTAATTCTCGAAGAGGTATTTATATCGGGTGGCACGTGCGATGCGAATAGTGCCTACACATTTACGTCTTTTTTTTAATGGGGGAAAATCATCGAATGACTGCTCCCGCCTGGGTGAGGCGGAAGGGAGCGTCAGACTCTTACTGACTATAAACCACCCCGTTCCTTCTCCTGCACGTCGAGCCGGAGCCTCGGTTACCCGTTAGGTTCTCCGCGACACACATTTACGTCTAGTATTTCATGTGCCATTCATTATCATCATCTTCCATGTTTTTTTTTTAATAAAAAAATAATGACATCTTTTTGTTTTCACTTCATACATCAAAAGTACTCCTTATGGCAAGTCATTTTGCTATGAGACGAAAAAGAAATAAATTTTACGGTGTACATATAGGCCATAAACCATCACGCTACGAAAACCGACTGCGCGGTTGGTGCGTGGTACTGCCCCACACTAGGATTTTCTCCTGTATCGTGGGTGCATTTACAAACATACAAGTTCACATACACATGACACCCAGACCCGGAACAAAAATCTGTGAATCACACAAAGAATTGTTCCGTGCGGGAATCGAACCCGCGACACATTGCGCGGCAGTCAGTTGCCCTGCCACCTCGCCAACAGTGCAGTCAATCAGCATTGAGCAAGCGTGATGATTGATGCTTAAACCTTCTCCTTTTTTCAGTAGTGGACACTTATAAGGTATTGATGTGGTGTTATATGTAGATATAATGCCAGCGATTCGGAGTCGCGGAGAACCTAACGGGTAACCGGGGCTCCGGCTCGACGTGCAGGAGAAGGAACGGGGTGGTTTTTAGTCAGTAAGAGTCTGACACTCCCATCCCGTCTCACCGGAGCCCTGGGGGCCTAAAAAGGTAACATTGGGTGAATCATATCTAATATGACAGATTTAAAATGATCTAAATCACCATAAAATGGTAACAATAAAATATGAACCATCTTCAATTCATTTCATAACTGAATCATATTAGATGCCGATGTTGCTACATAAGAAATATATAGAGAGAAACCGAACCGTAACTTTACCGGTTTTGTTTATCTTGTGTTTTATTACAACTTGAATTAAAAATTTCGATCCTGAATGTTTTTTAATTATAAGATTTTCTCATATCTATCAAGAAACTAGAAAATCCATTAAAATACAGTGTAAAAACTACATACAGTATTTGATTTTGTTTTTCTTATTTCCTTTTTGCTGGCAATGACATGTGCTCATACGTCACGTCAGTTAGTCACTGTCAGAATAACAGTAAATTTAAACTTCATTTAAAAACAAATAAATTTGTTAAAAAATATTAAACTCTTTAACTTAGACATTATTTCATAGGGAAGTAAGTAACAGTGAATAGAGTTCGAGATGTGATTGGACTTCGAGAAGTAAATAGATACAGAAAAGGGCTCCTCCCTTACAAAGGCGAAGATTGAACGCTATGGATTTTATCTATTAAGAAATAATACACGTTAAAAGGTAAATATAATCATTTATTACTAGCTTATTTGTGTACTAATACTAGTCATTAATACCGAGCCAGACACTCAACAACGGCACTACGCCCAAAAACATTGTTGGCCTCGGAATACCGTGGAAAGGTGTATCGAAGTACACAAATCTCGCTGGCGATGTTTAAGTATTGGTTCATCGCAAGATACGCTACAGCAGGACAAGTGCATTTGCATGTATTTGTGTTAACTGAAACAATGACATGTTGTTTTATTGTAGCTTATCAGAAACCTGGCAATGACAGTAGCTTTAATATGATAAGAAGGGGAAAATTTGCAACTTAGAAAAATTTTATTTCATTTATCATGTTTCAATTTCAGATGTTCGATATTTTTTTGGACAAGCCTGCCACAACCTTCCCAAACCGCTGCGACTCCTGTAAGCCAGGATCTACAGTAGATGACACCAGAACACTGAAGTCCGGCGCGTCCCAGGGACATAATTAACTGTCTTGGATCCCGCTACGAAATCAGATTCTGATTTATCAGAAGATATTATAAGAGGAGAAGAAAAAAACAATAGTTTGCACTTTCCCTCGGTTATTTTTAGTTAGTGATTATGAAATAAATGTTTTAAAATTAGTGACTTTATTTTATTGCTGTGAATGATATCGCTATCAGTTGAAATATCTCCCCTCTCTCTCTCTCTTTATGTTCCAAAAGGCTGTACTATGGCTATAGACCTAAAAAACTAAGGCAAATAAAAACAACAAAATTTTCAAATCGTCAGATACGTGCTGACCAAAATCTATTTATTTATAAGTCCGTTTCGTACTAGAGAATTAGTATATTAGTTCTTGCACTCTGTATAGGCGTATCCTGAAACACAATTTTAATCATTAATATTTACTATATGTACAGGATCACAATTTATAGTTTTATTTTATAACTTCAGTGTAAAACTTGTTGAAAAGACGTACTGACAATGAAATAACCCAAGGTATATGAAGATACAACTTCAATCATGCCTATTATTAATATACGATCCAGAAGCGTCAAGTATTAGTGCACTTAATACGTTAAACAGAAATAAATGCATGCATCTATTATTTTCTTGAAATAATCTTAAGGGATAATTGCAACTTGGTTGTATAACTACTTTAAGTAATGAATAGTTTGGTGGCTACTTATCTTGCACGCAGTACTTATTCCACCACGTCGAGAGGCTAAATACACTTCCAACTCTTGGGATTATTTTGCGACACACACTATTATTTACGCAAAACAATCCAAGATATTCAGGCTCCGGTATTTCAAAAAAAACTTGCATTTCCTGGAGAGTCTCACTTCGCCGACGATATCAAAACCTTTCTAAAACACGTGCATGCTCCAAAAAGTTTTCAGAAAGGCCTAAATCTCCCATTTTTCATTAATTTATTAATAGTATAAACTAGATGAACTGCGAAATGTTGCCTTTGAGTAACATCTGACAAATCTGCTTATTTGACGTATAGGAATTCACTCTTTGCAAACCATTTTACGAATTTCCATTCAAAAGTGTCATATTAGATGAACTGCAAATATGAAACACTTTCAGTTCATATTATGAATCATCAAAATGTTGTCTTTTTATGACATGACATATGTCACATATTATGATTCAGATATGAAACATACAATGTTACCTTTTTAGCCCCCCTGGTAACCCGTTAGGTTCTCCGCGACTCCGAATCGGCATCAGCCCTGTTGAGCCCCATCTGTGGTGGTCTGATGGCTCTTTGAGGCGCGCGCGGAACGCGACGCGCCGTACGCTCGGGTCTGTTGCCTTTAGCCAAACGCCACTTTAGCGCTGACAAGTCTCAAAATTTACGTCAATCCCATATAATTTGGTTTTCTATTCTACATGTAGACAAGTGCTAAATGGCTTTTGGCTACAGCTGCTGGTCGGACGGGGAGTCACCTGTGGCGACGCATGCCACATGTCAACGGATGACGTCACAAGAATCCTACATCGCACATGCAAAGTTTATAAGCGAATAAACACGGATAGAAAATCCCAACGGGCAGAAAGCCCGCCAGGCACGATTACCGAGGATCCTCCTTTTCCGATCTTAGGGAACTATACACTCTGTTCCCTAAACACCCATGCTGTATGACCCCCCCCCCCTATAAAGTGGGCGGTACCTGGGAGTGCGTGGCGGCGCGGTAGGGGCAGCGCGCGCACTGCAGCGTGACGGCGGCGCCGCGCCCGCCGCCCGCCCGGCCGCGCGCGCCGCCCACCGTGTGCTCGCGGGCCTGCCGGCATACATACTTATCAATTATTATGGTTTTCGGCTAACTCACATAATACGCCATTACAAAACTAGTCAAATTCAATACTTTTATCGAACTATAAAAAACTATAAATTTTGTACGAAACTGAATTTTTTAACGTCAATTACTTCTTAAACATCTGGATCCCTCCCCTATTACATGGGATTCATAACATAAATAGTGGAAAGTTGGTGTTACATTGTACAGTGGCATTCAGTGTCGTAATGTGCACCTCTACCTACCCCTTCTGTTATGTTTAAAAGTGGCATATTATAATAACTATTATGCACACACTTCTCATGAGGAAGAACCCCTCTGTGGTTCGAAACTAGTAGAGCTTTTCTCAGTATACTCACGTGACTAACCCGTGAGTTTTGTTAATTTAGTGGCATATTAGTCTAAAATGCCTAATTCATTTAACTTTGTATAGGTAACTGACCTTATGCGCCGACATATCCTTAACAGCATTACATTTGTAGTTACACAGCTTGCAAGAGTACAGATACAGCTTGAAGTTAGGGGACGCGAGCAGCTCGTGGGGCGGGGGGAGGTCACTCTTGCGTTTGCGACCACGACCTCGGCCGCGGGAGGACGCTAGGAGCGCTCTGTAAGGGAAAACGATAGTTCATTATTAACATTTTTTGTTTCAAGCAGGTGGATCGCCTGATGGAAACTTTATTGGGACAAGCCCGCCACATCCTCCCAAAACCGCTGCAACTCCTGTAAGCCAGGATCTACAGTAGATACAACCATGAAAACACCGGAACATTGAAGTCCGGCGCGTCCCAGGGACATGAGTAACTGTCTTGGTTCTCGCAACGAAGTGAATCAGATGATATTATAAGAGGAGAAGAAAAAAACACGATAGTTTTCACTCCTCTCGGCCTCAAAAGGCCGGCAACGCACTAGTAACTCCTCTGGTGTTGTGGGTGCTCATAAGCAACGATAATTTCTCAACCGCTTCATTTCTCAGCACTCACGGACTTATCGTCGTTCACTGTAATTTTTTGTGAAGAAGTCCTATAAGAAAAACAAATGGGAAGGATTGGGCTTCCGGTAACCTCACTCACACGGCGAAACTCCTCGCAAGCGTTGTATCACGCCGGTTTGCGAAGAGCACGTAGTTAATAACTCTCCAAAGTCAAAATACCTATAAGAAAATTCCAGTCAGCTCATAAAAAAATATTAAAAATAGGAACAATATTACTTACTTAGCTTTTTGTAAAGACTTCGCCTTTTCCAATATCTCTGTCGGTGACAATGGTTTCTGTAAGAAATGAATACAACCATTAATCGATTGCTTTGAATTTTTGCAGACGTAAAGTTAGAAGTCCGGATTAAATAATAGGGTACTTTTTATCCCGGAAAATATTTATATTTCCGAGGGAAAACAAAAGTATTGGTATAGATGGCGCTGTGTCTATTGGTATATGTCACATAGGCTACTTTTTATCCTATTGTGACGCGAGCAAAGCCGCGGGTAAAAGCTAGTACTAAATAACTTGGTTGACTGCTGACTATACATGATGCATACCTTATCTTCAATTTTCTTCTGTATGGCAGTGGTCTGTTGTAATGCAGACTTGAGTATGACTAAGGAGTTCTGCCCATCCTCGTTTTCCACCATCACATAGGAGTCTTGGTTGTCGGGGTCTACAAATGTACTTGTGAAATTAACCTTTTGAGCGCCAGGGTCACAAATACGTGACAAGCGAAAACTGTCCCTGAGCGCCAACGACACAAATATGTGACAAAAACAGCGGTACATTAAAACACGAAATAAACTATTTAAACATTACTTTAATGCCTATTTATTTATATACCTGTAAAATAGAAGGTCCAAAATTTATTTATTTCCATAAAACTAATTAAATTGCATTATAAATATTGAGAAATTTCACGTTAAAAAGAAAGAAATAAACTCTGAAAAAAGAATGTCCTCACACGCCAGAGTCATAACTGCGTGACCGCTAGTGATGTAGCGCATGTTGGATAATATCATTATTTCAAATCAAAGATCGATTCGAAACTTTCCTCTGGAATATATTATTTTAGGTATAATTTGGTACTAGGATAAAGCAGCATTAATTTTATAAAACCAGTCTTAAAAATCAATCAATAAGCTACATAGTCAAAATATAAAATTTGGTTGGGTCGAATTTCGATATTCACTAATCCCACCTCAAGCGCATCCCTAACGCAACCCGAATTATCAGTACCCTGTACGCCATGGTCACGACTAGACGACAATATCGTGACGTCACAAGCGCGGCGACCAGAAATTAGTGAAGTGAATGTCTAATATTTATGATTAATTTACTTGTGATATCGAGTTCAAGATTTATATTAAGTGACTATTATAATGAATGGGAATTTAATGACTACGGAAGAACTTCTTCGCATATTAGAAGGAGTCTCAGATGACGAAGAATATATTAATATTTGACTCGAAACTTTTATTCTAAGTGTGGGCTCCATATTTACCTATAACTTCGTGGAATAAAGTCTGCCAAAAGTTCCTTTTTTAGCCACGGTGCGCGCTGAGATCGATTTCACTGTGCCCACCACCCACTTTGCACCCAGCGAATTAGATGATCAGAATGCAGGTTGCATTGTAGTTTTTGTATAATTTTGTTCTATTATTCAAAAGATTTATTAGTAAGACTGATTGGTAATTGTGATAATTTATATATAATCGTTAATTGTTTTAATTTGTTGCTTTTTATGCCAGGTTTATAGAACTTAATATTTAAAAACATGTATACATAGTACATACTGTATAACATTTTATTAAAATTTTCTATTTTTTCATAGTTTTTATTTACCTTCTTACTTATTTCAATCATATATTTTTAAGTACCTGTTACATTCGGAATTATAAATCTGATTTAAAAAACGTGTTTCATTTATTATAAAATAATATTGTACTAGAACATCGATAAACGAGATATACGTTGCCAAATCCTTATTTCGGAAGCGAAGTAGTTATTAAAATGGCGGGCCGTCCACGCCATGGTCACAATATGAAGACAGCAGATCAAGAATAGTGTTGTACCTACAGTTATTATATTTAAATATATTGTAGTCTCATATCTGTTATTACGGTATTATACAAGTCTGTAAATAGTGTATAACTATTACTTTAATAGGAAGAAATGTAATGTTGAATTAAATTTCAATGTTATAAGGACATTATATTTCGAAATTAAAGACGAAAATGAAAATAAAATTGATTATCGATGAAGTTTTGGAATCCCTATTTTTTTCGTAGGTATTTGCGGTGAATTTGTGGCCTGGCGTTGAGGGCAAGTTCATGCGTTTTTGCTCTGGCGTTCAAAAGGTTAATAACATGTAGGTAGTACAAATAGATCATCATCATCATCAGCACGATGAGACCGTGTTCGTTCACTGCTAGAAACGAAGACTGCACAAAAACTAAATAAACACATAACATAACATAACATCACGCCTTTTATCCCCGAAGGGGTAGGCAGAGGTGCACATAGAAGTAACACCCACTTCCACTATTTATGTTATGAGTCCCATGTAATAGGGGGTGAGCCTATTGCCATATACCGGGCACATTTCCAGACTCCGTGCTACTACTGAGAATTTTTTTTAAAAACCCAGTAATACTTTGCCCGACCCGGGAATCGAACCCGAGACCCCTTGCCCGGCAGTCGCACTTACGACCACTCGGCCAACGAGGCAGTCACTAAATAAACATACGATACATATAACAAAACTAGCTACTTCCGCGCGGTTTCACACGCTCTGCTCAGCTCCTATAAGTCGCAGCGTGATGTTTTATAGCCTATAGCCATCCTCGATAAATACGCTATCCAACAAAAAAAGAATTATTCAAATCAGACTTGTAGTTACGGAGATTAGCGCGTTCAAACAAACAAACAAAAAAACAAACTCTTCCGCTTTATATAATAGTATAACAGTATAAGATAACACTGTACAATTTTTGTCTGACTGTCTGTTTGTACTGGCTAATCTCTGAAATGGCTGGATCTAGTTAATCTTCTAACTAAGGAGTAACATAAGTTACTTTTATTTTAGAAAAACGCAATCGAAGTTGCGTGTTTAGCTAGTATTCATAACATAACATAACATCACGCCATTTATCCCCGAAGGCAGAGGTGCACATTATGCCACTGTACAATGTAACACCCTTAGCTAGTGTTCAATAAAATAAAAACGGACCATAAATAACATTATCTACCTTCAGTATCGCTAGTCTGCAGCACGCATGTGACAGTGGCGTCGGACGACATCTCCCCGTCAGAGGGCGCCGCGTTCGCAACCAACTGGTAGCCTTCCTCACCATCTTGACATCTGAAACGAAAAATATTAACATTTAATACAACATATCAACAATATCATATTTTTTTTTATTATTTATCAAAGACAAAAAACAGCAGTATATTAAATACATATAACACGAGTGAGTAAAATAATAGATTTAACAAACACACTCCTCACGACGTTGCCACGGATTACCATAAATCTACTTAGCAAACACAATGGGGCAAACTTGAAGCTACAAACTATACAAACATAGGATAAATTTAAATCAACCTGTGCATTGGAGCTGAACTCGACACAGTTGAACTGAGCCTCCTCTACATAAGAGACTCTGCCATAATCTCTATTCTTGGCACAGACAAGTCAGAGATTGCAGTTCAACAATAACAACATCAACCAACCAACAACTCAGGTTTCCTCACGATGTTTTCCCTCACCGTTTGTCAGTGGTGTCTAGATAATCTTAGAAAGTACGTATAACTCGGAAAAAGTCACATTGTCACAACGACAAGTACCTACTCCTTGCCGTTGATAGGTTTAGAGCCCGCACATTACGGTACTTAATGCCACTATACAATGTAACACCCACTTTTCACTATTTATGTTATTCCAGACTCCGTACTACCACTGAGAATTTCTTAAAACCTAGTTGAGCGGCAGTCGCACTCGCGACCACTCGGCCAACAAGGTTTTTTTGAAGTCGATTAAAAACACAACGCTAATCATAGAAAACCCTACTCCTCCACGCCTACACCGAAAACAAGAGAGAACTAATAAAATTAGTTAAAACAATAACAATTCTAATTACTTCCATTGCTTAATTAAGGTGGTGGCTGACGTCTGACTGACTTTTAATTGGCAAATTTTGACTTGCCACCATGATCGATTTCCATTTCAAAATTATATAGACATACGTACCTGACCAGCGTCAAATTCAGCAGATCCAAGTGCACGAGCCCCTTGCCGCTAGCGTCCAGCACCTGCATGTACTTGGCTTCATTCTCCTCTCCATCTGTCAGGTCGGGCAGGATGCTACCCTGGAAGAGGTGGTGGGACGGTTAGTTGTCACATAATGAGGTAAATACACCGTGAAATCTTTTTTATTTTCCGTCCCGCAACAAAACAACTTGCCATAAGGAGTATCTACTTTCAATGTACAAAGTATAAACAAATCAAAAAAGATGTCATTTTATTTTAGGTATGACTGCCTCGTTGGCCGAGTGGTCGCAAGTTCGACTCGGCAAGGGGTTTCGGGTTCGATCCCGGGTCCGGCAAAGTACTACTGGGTATTTTATAAATTCTATAAAATACCCAGTATGTCCGGTATATGGCAATAGGCTCACCCCCTATGGGACTCATAACATAAATAGCGGGTATTACATTGTACAGTGGCATAATGTACACCTCTGCCTACCCCTTCGGGGATAAAAGACGCGATGTTATGTTATTTTATTTTAGTAATAAACTTTCATGGAAGTACGCACATTTAAAACACTAGATGTAAATTTTTAGGCATCATTCGCATCGCATGTGCCACCCGACGAGAAATACCTCTTCGAGAATTACATGGCGCGATATTTTGATAACGTAACGAGTTCGAAGTTTGCTTTTTGCAATGGTTCACCAGTTGTTTTTGGTTTTAAACATTTCATTTGTTTGTAAAACTATTGTATTACCAAAACAGAACCATTTTACTTCGGGACAAAAACGAAATAGATTTCACAGTATAATATAGCTTACTTCTGTCAAAGTCAAATCATCAGTTAATAATCCTTAGCTGTAGTATAAATAAAACTGACGAATAAAATTGTAGATTAAGTTTTTAGTATGCAACAGTTGTCAAATATTTAGTTATTCCTCAATTAAAATTTATCTGGCGTTAGAACAATATAATTAAAAAAAGAATTCTGGATTTCATTGTTCCGTTTAACAATTTAACAATACCCTTTAAACCAGTTACACATACAGACAAAAATTGCAAATTAGGTGGCAATTAAAATAAAAGAAATCTAATCATGCAAGGAACACGACAAAATCTCATAATGGAATGAGAGAAGTCATCAGAACAAGGAATAATCAGACAAAAGTAACAAAACCACATGCATTTCGAAAAACTCAAAAAAAATAAAAGGGTGTCACATTTAACCTGTAGATTTACCCGGTCTTTCTCGAACGGTGTCACCTCAACTATCTGGAGTTGACCTGGAAACAGAAAATATATCACCCTTACTATATAATATTATAAATCGGAAAGTGAGTTTGTTTGTTTGTTTGTTTGTTCCGATTTCCCGCCGTAACTACTAAACCGATTGCTTTGAATTTTTGCAGACGTAAAGTTAGAAGTCTGGATTAAATAATAGGGTACTTTTTATCCTGGAAAAATTTGATATTCCCGAGGGAAAACAAAAGTATTGGTATAGATTGCGCTGTGTGTATTGGTATATACACACACATAGGCTACTTTTTACCCTTTTGTGACGTGAACGAAGCCGCGGGTAAAAGCTAGTTGAACATAGAACAAAGGAGTAGCCACAGAAAGCTATAAGAAGAGACAAGTGGAAGGAGGGTAGAGAGGCCTTTGCCCTACAGTGGGATGGTAATGCAGTGAGCGTCGGTTTCGCAAGTTCATTGGCGAGTGTTTGGATGCCTCAAGAGCCGTTCCGTTATGCATACATATGCGTAAGGAATTGAACTATACATTAGTTCTTCAAATAAAGGAAGGCATCTCTGTTTCAGAATGCATTATAATAAAAATTAACAAAGTGTTATGTATGCTCACCATCTTTGTACTCCGCAGACAGGATCTGTCCATCAGAGGTCTCCACAGTCACCTCCTCATCTGACATCTTGGATTAAATCTGAAAACATTATAACATTACGAAGTTTAGACCAACTAACTAAATAATATGTATACCTTGCATTGACTGTCTAGAATTGTTCCCGGTATATTGCAATAGGCTGACCTCCTATTACATGGGACTCATAACATAAATAGTAAAAAGTGAATGTTACATTGTACAGTGGCATTAAGTTGCCGTAATGTGCACCTCTGCCTACAATGAATAAAAGGTGTTATGTTATGTTAAATACCTTGTAAATAGGAAAGGCTTATGCCTGTTCTCACCGACCTCTTAAGTTAAACTTAGACAGTTTAGAGGTATTGGTGAAAATCTAGAGCCTAAATTCTGTCGCGGAGAACCTAACGGGTAACTGGGGCTCCGGCTCGAAGTGCAGGAGAAGGAACGGGGTGGTTTTTAGTCAGTAAGAGTCTGACACTCCCTCCCGCCTCACCCAGGTGGGAGCAGTCATTCAATGTTTTTCCGCCCTTAAAAAAAAAGAGCCTAAATTCTGGCAGGAGGAGCAGGACAGGAGAACAACCACTCAAGTACATGGTTAGGCCAATTTTAATGTTGGCACAGAAATTGATTATACTCTCTAATAGCATTAAATCAATTTATTGGATTTCTACTTTGTAAACTTTTACTCATTATTTTCATTTAAAGTAATAATCATAAAAACTTTCAATTGTTAACATGTTGAATGCCATGAGAGTCACCAGTGAATGACGTTAGTTGACTATTTGCCTTTCAATAGTTTTCTATTGGCAGTCAAAGACTTAACATAGTTATTTTTTATGAGACAAGTCCGTTCACAACCTCCCAAAACCGCTGCAACTCCCATTCACCAGGATCTACAGTAGATACAACCATGAAACACTGAAATCCGGCATGACCCATGGACATATATACATACATTCCTTCGCAAAAAGGTGAAATTAGTTTTTGACGTGAAAACTTCTTTAGCGGCATTGCTCATCACACTTTTTTTAAATACAAAAACCTCTCTTCTCTTCTACTAATGAATTACTAGGACGTGGAATCAACGTTATTAGTGATAACATGAACTTATTAAAGGTATTTTAGAAATTATAATAGTTTTACTATAAAAGTAGTTCCTTATAATGACCACTTAAGGTTTAATCTTGCCTATACATAATTTTACCTGTACTTTATAATGAGTACGAGTACCTATCTAAAATAAAATACGTAGGTAGTGGTTACTTGATTAGTATGGTCCCAAAGTAATAAAAAAGTCTAAAATAGGTTAGATAATCGAAAAAAATATATTTACTTAACATAACGTTAAATGCATGGTATTATCCGAAATCAAAAAGATCGATACGGACACAGGTGAGCATGAGGTTATATCCAACTTATTCTACATTGCGAATAAATATTTAAGTGTAAATAAACAACGTATATGCAAATCCATACAAATAATAAACAAAATAAATGTCATTCAAGGTTTGTCAAAAATTCTTGCAACACCAAATTCATTGTTGCCGTGTTTCTTTAATGGCGATCGACTTTTTAATTTTATTATTGCAACAATCAATACTCACGTTTAATGGCAACAATATAGATTTCCAACACTCAAAATAGCGATCACAAGATAACTAACACGATTAAATTAACAAAATAACTTCAATTAATGCAAGAAAATGGCGTCGTCAAGGTATAATATAACTTTTTCTTCGTAAATTACGAGTCAAAGACGTTTCGGCGTTTTACTGGAGTTGCCAGTGTGAATTTTGTTTACCCAACTTTTACCCTTAAAATTACCGAAATATCAAATGGTTGTTATTATTTTATTTGAATTTATAAATAAACGCAATAATTAGTGACAATAATATTTTATATAGATCATTTTTACATATTTTTCTGACCCAAATAATTTATCAAAATGCAAGTAGCTATACCAAATAAATATTGATGACGTAACACTACAAAATACACAGTGAATCTAAATAAAATAGACCTATTCTGAAACAAATATTTAATTTTTGTATATAGATTTTCTCTTTCTAATGTTCGATATTTATAATACTGTCTCTATCTTTTATTCGATATGTCGACATACACTTGTAGAGTCGGAATGTAGAGTTAAAAAAAGGTAAACAGATGATATCATACAACCAATCCGTAATGGGTAGAGGCTGTGTGAAAGAGAATGTGCTGTCTTCTTCACTCTTATACGATTCTCATAAGAACATTTACAAAATTAGAACTTCGAATAAGAAAATAACTACAAACTCTACATGAAAATAAAAAATATGACAAGATATTGAACTGAATTTTAGGAAGGTTTCTTTAAGTAACCATGGACCTAAATTGAGTAGTATTGAAGGGAAAAAATGGTGAAATCTAAATCCTACATCGCGCTATCGAAGTTTTCACGCGTATTGGAAGGCGAATGTAATTTTAACTCTACGTTATCGGGAGGTCCGTAGCTACTACGTAAACCGGTGCTGGCGAGGAACCGGTCTAATACCTCGTCATCAGATATGTTGAAGCGTAAGCAATCATATAATGGTAAAATATAATGTCAAATATGTCAAGAAAAATGATAAAGAGAGACTAGGTCTCATCCACACGCTAGTAGCTGATTTGACTTCCTTTTTGTTTTGTTAGACATGGCGTTGAAAGAGATTTAAAAAAAAATAGAAATACTTTTTAACATTTTTCAATAATTTTCCGTGATTTGAAAAATTGCGATCAATATTGAATAAATTATCTCTTATCGAAAAAGACTAAAAACTATTTACTGATGTCGAGATTGAATTATTCTCTCTATATTAGTAAATATATTTTAGTCTTAATCGTGTGCATAATTAATTCTAATTAACTATGAAAACAAACAATCAATAATTGTGACTGTTTTTAGGATATGAAATGACTCTACTGACCAAATATGAAATATACCGTATTTAAATTTAAACATTGCCATCTCTAAAACTAGTACAACTACCTAATTTTAATAATTTATTTATTTTGACAAAACAATGAACAAACTAATTTAACTTAATAAAACCTTAATTTGTAAGGATGACTAAAAACTAAGTCTCTACCTGGGCTTATAGAGAGTTCATTGTGACACGGTAATCGTCGTCGGTCAACGAACTCTCCTGACATTGTCGGTCAACGACTCATACGTTGAGTACCATGACGAAAAAAAAACAAAACAAAAACAAACGATTTTCTTATCAAATCTGTTTAAATCATGTGTATTTGTTTTGATGGAGTCGTATTACTTGTAAACCGAGTTGACTCTGCGTTGATGATATCCTAATTTATAATTTCACGAGGGTAAAATTCCAAATATAAAGTGCTTTTAGAGTATGTTTCTCAGTTGTCAGTACCCCTTCAGTCCCTTAATTGTTGAAGAATAATGTCCTTGTAAAAAATAGAGTTTCCGAAACATTAGGCAAACAAATATTTGATATAATGAGTAGCAAAGAATATCAAAAATAAATTATTAAACAAAACAAAATTTAAAACACAAAAAGGAAGTCAAAGACGCTACTTCGGTGTATGTGAGAAGGACTCTCGTTTTTCATTGAAACAGAATGATTGAACATTATTCTTTAAACATTTTATATTAAACCCATACATGACGACTATTCAGACGACATATTCAGATGGCGGAGGCTTAGACCGGCCCTCCGCCACGACCGGTTACCCGAGTAGCAATGGACTTCCCGACAGTACTGCAGGGCGTTTTATATTTAAGCAAACTCCAGCGAAAACTTCAATAGCGTGATGCAGGCCGAGGCTCCTGATTGGTTGGTCGGTATGACGTAGTTTCGTCGAGGATCGAATATTAAGAGTCCGGGGGAGAAAATTAGGTAACCCCAGATTTTGTGGGAGGACAAAAATTTAATTCTTATTAGACTGAACCAGATATTCCATATCAATTCCAATTTAAAAATGTAAGTTGTGTATTGCAGTTGGTTTCGATATAAATACCCACCTTTTCTATGTAGAGATGAGAATAATATTTCATTTAGGTACTAAAATTCTAATGGGTATTACTATAGTCTATATTAAGTGTGTAGTTATATATTTTACCTAAAATTAAGTTGGAAGTAGCCACCAGCTGCACATTCTTAACAACAAGGGGGCTTCCTAAAGAGGTCAATGACTTTTGCCGGTATAAAAACGTTCGCTCGTCGATGCAAGTCATTGTTCATTAGAAAATTTGGACTCTTTTTTCAAACTTAACATGTAAATTAAATGCTTCCTGAGGTTAAAGTTTCCTTAAATGGTCACTGCATTTTCATAGCACATAGATTTTGAACAATTATCGCGTCGTTTAATGCCATTGTAGCTTAATTTACACCTGTCTTATGCAAGTCGATCATCAATCCTTTTCAGATTTATCTCGATTTACCAAAATGCACTCCAAGAAAATGCTAATATCCTTATACCTAAAATATCCATTAAGTAGCTCAGAAGTAAATCCTTTTTCTTATAAGGCAATTTGATTCAATTTTCTATTAAGGGCCAAAATTATTAACCAATCTTAATCCAAATTCTCTGGATCTGATTCTAATGTAGTTTTTTTGATAGGAATTAACCTAAAGATTAAATTTCAGTGGTGAACCAGAATCCAGAATTTCTAACGTACTGCAGTTTCTTACTGAGACGGATGACGTAGAGGTGGCTGGAATTGATCGCTACCACGTCACAGCTCTGCGTAGTTGCAATGAAACACTACCTACACCTACACTCGATCAATACAAAGCTACGTTTTGAACGCTCTATCACTGATACATATTTGACGCATGAATTCCTATCACGATTGGTAAATCCCTTTTTTAGGAAGTCCCGGTTTGAAATTGGATTTCCGATTGTTTTAGTGAGGTGTAAGGTGATATAGTGCTAAATTTGACAATTCTTAATGAAAACAAAGTTTTTAAAATAGGAGGGTAGTTGTGTTTAGTAGGTACCTCCCCATTGTTTTGTTAGTTCTTGTTTATTTATTAATCCCGTTCAATCAAAGGGTAAGACAATGCCTAAATACCAATTATATTTATGATTGTTATTTTTTAAAAGCACACATATTCAAGCAAACATAAACATCATGGACTCTAGAATGATTTTTATATAATATATGTATAGTCTACTATACCCATAAGTCGTAGCCAGTAACTCGTGTTTAAAAACTATATATCTAGAATCATTATACTCATTTATCAATAGCATATGCACTTCCGCTCTACCTTACATTGTACTCATAACAAATAGTATAAATAGCTTGGCTAGATAATCAGTAGTACATAAATTATGGCTTTGTAGACTGAATGAAACAATGTAGGTACTATCTACACGTGTTTAATGAATCATTCAACTGTGGAGACTTTCTTCAAGATATTGCAATATTACTTAATATTGCAGATATTGAACCCTTTTAACCTCATGTCAATCAATGTAATGAGCGTGCCAATCACAGATTTCTTTATAGCTTCGAAAGAAACGGCTTCCAAAGTTCTCGCATACTCCAGCAGTAGACTGTCGCTTGATAATGATGGTATTTCCTGACTTTAGAGACCAAGGTCCATAGTGTCTGCATCAAAGAGCTTTACATGAGAAAATTTGCCAAAATATGCACACTTGGTGGAAGAAAATACATATATAAGTTGTTTAAAAGAGAAAAATAACGTTACAACGTGCAACAGCATGTAGTCCGACGTATCTGATAGACAAGTATTACACTTTCAAGTAATTACATTGTCAATATTTAATGCAAAAAGCGCACATAGCAACTCAAATGATTGCTTTGTGCGAACCGCATTAGTGCATCTTCCGGCAAGTAGAGTCACGTCACGCATGCGTGCTTTGTCGATGCGCTCTATTTATTTATTAAAGTCACGACTACTCCTTTGGGTAGATAATATGATGATGGTGGCTAATAGTGTACCCATGTATCCTATAATGGAGCAGAATTCTCATTGATTACTAGGTCACACATTTAGGTAGCTAACAAAAGTCACAGAAGAATTTCGAATATAGAAAATGCCCAATGATACTTTGCTCTACCCAAGAATTGAATCAATTATTCTTTCTTCAGTAATAGCGCTCATACCCACTAAATCAACGACCCAGTCATAACATCATACGACTGTATTATTATCATCAAGTTCTTTCAACTCTACCTCACAACACAATACACGACTATATTCGCAGTAAGTAACTGAATAAAATAAGCATGCAACTTGACCTTAACGTTCTTCATTCATAAAACCGGATTGCCACCCCCCTTCTACTGGATGACACAGTGTAGTCTGCGGTAGAGACATTGGTACAGATTTCACTTTTATTTTAGCGTTATTGTAATAATCTTTGTTAAATGTCAATTAAGGATGTAGATAGCAGATTACTAAAACTTTCTACACATATTTCAGAACCAGAATAAACGGTCAGAACTCTATATTGTATTATTTGCTGACAAAAAATCATAATAAGTCTTTGTATTAAACCAAAACTTTGCTGTGAACAGTTCCTATAAATCAAAATAATGGGTATGCGTATGACCAATAAAGGTAAAAATTTTGCTTCAATCTCTGAATTGTAAACTACTCTACCCTCCTGAATCGCGGTATTGAAGTTTTCGCAGCACTTGGTACATGAACGACGGTTTCGCGTGATACTATAGGGAGTCCGGTGCCACAAGGTAAAGTGGTCCTGTGCATCCACTTCAATCAAGTGCACGGCACAATAATATTCAGACAGACACGATCTCAGTCGCTAAAATAATAACTTCAAGATTTGCCATTCTGTCGACTAGAAGAAATTGCTAGACTGTATTTGGAATACCCGCGACTCAGTAGAATGACGAATGCTTGAACTTGACAATGAATGCTTACAGCACCTATGTGGTTAATATGACTCCTTTTTGGGACTTTTTGATTGCTTTGGTACAATTTAATTCTCGCCAAGTGCTAATAATATATTAGTTAATAATAGAATTACTTTTACTAACTCTTACAATTACTTTTACTCATTTACTTTAAACTCTCATGTAATTTAATTAACAATAATATTGATTTACAAATATATATAAAAAAAATATGCTTCAAAAAGGTAGTCGAGGCATAATTTTTGATCTTCTGATAAATAAAATACACAGAGTAAGAGTAGTACGCTGTTCTAACGACATCTGTTGTAGCATCCAAGAATAAAATCACCGAGAGAACGACGGTGGTCCCCCAATTTCAACAAGTGTAGGTAAGTAAGTAAGCAAGCAACTAGGTACTTCGTTGTTTTTTATTTAAGAACCAGGAGGGCGCTCCTTATCGAAAAAAGTTTTTAATCCAATGTGAAATAATTTGTAGTTAATTGACGAACTCGTTACTTGTTATCTCCGACTTATTATTTTAACGATAAACATATTTATGAAATTCATCAATTCTTCGAAATAAAAATCTCCCCAAAATCAGATTTTCCCCATGCTAATGACAACCCCAAAATAAGGGATGTACTGCGCAAGTCAGATGTCTGTCAAGTCAAATCGGTTTTGTCAAATATCAGCAACGCGACAACAAATCTATGAAAATGATTAAATATTAATTGAAGGCGTGTGTTTTAATATTATTTTATTAAAACAAAATATTGCACCATTACTTTTAAACACATTTATATTAAAAGTATTTGTTTTGAGGTAAGTTCCTCGTCCTATTACATTTTTAATCAATTTTATTACTTTATTTTCCTTGGCATAGTTTTTAGATTATATAATTTAGAAAACAAGTGGAAAATAGTGTTTTATTTATTAAATACAATGGAATATAACTACAAGACTTCTTTACATGGAAAGTATATTTTAATTGTGCCTATTTTCTCTTTTGACCTTGACTGCAGATGTAGGAAACATAAAAACTTCTAATTAATTCATTCATTCTTCGTTTATGGCATTAAACACTTGAATAAATAACTTGTAAAATGTTTACTAATTTAAATATGAATTACCATTGTTACTCAGCACTTTTAATTCCAAAGATAATAATATAAACTGTTAAAATTACTTTTCTATTACAGGAATAAATAAAAATGGCAACGAGTGGCTCCGGTGCGGTATTCTTTTTAGGCACGCGAGCGCATTATCAGGTAAATTAAAAATGATACGACGAATAAAAATATTGTACCTATGTTTGATAAAAATAAGACTGCAATGTCTGCATCTGCAGTAGGTATTAATAATACAAAGATTGTAGCTGTAGTAAGTAGAATAAGAACATATTATAATATCATCATAACCTCCCGCTTTTTATCCCCGAAGGGGTAGTCAAGAGGTGCACATTACGCCACTTAATGCCACTGTACAATGTAACACCCACTTTCCACTATTTGTGTTATGAGTCCCATGTAATAAGGGGTGAGCCTATTGCCATACCGGGCATAATTCCAGACTCCCTTCTACTACTGGAATTTTTTTAAAACCCAGTGATACTTTGCCCGACCTGGGAATCGAACCCGAAACCCCTTGCACGGCAATCGCCCTTGAGACCAATCGGCCAACGCGACTGTCAACATAATATCGCGTTTTTAAAATCTCAAGGCAGGCAGGCAGAAGTCAGAGGTCTGAGCATACATACTGCACAATAAACAATTGAGGCAGCTATTTAGTTGCTAAAAAAATCGCATTAATAGGGTAGATGCCTAATTAATGTCCGTCTTGTAGATTATTTTAAATCATTAGACACGTATTTTTTATTTTTTTACGGAAACGAATACTTTCGACGATACTATTGATTTGAAATGTCGCGTGACGTCACTATGTACATTTTATAGGTACGTAGAAATGACGTTTTAGCCCCCACTTCTAAACTTTTAATCGTTTTATCTAAGTATTGTTTTATTATGCGACAAAATAAAAAATACGTGTCTAATATTTTTTCATTACCTTACTTACGGACTATATTACCTATACTTTTAATACTCCTCTCGCGTCCGGGCCTAGTGCAGGCCATGATGCGGAGCGAGGGGGACTGGGATGCCGTCTCCTCCTTTTGCGAAGCAGTCATGCTAGCTAAGGAGGAGGCGGGACGCGTGAGGCAGCGAAGCGCTGCCTCCTCGCGACCCAGCCATCGCGAAGGACACACCGGGCGTCGGGGATCGCGGGACGATCTCCGGCCACCGTAAGCGCGGGCCTGCGGACGGCGAGCATGGGTGGCTCCCCGTCCGACCAGAAACAGACCCGAGCGTACGGCGCGTCGCGTTCCGCGCGCGCCTCAAAGAGCCATCAGACCACCACAGATGGGGCCCAATAGGGCCGATGCCGATTCGGAGTCGCGGAGAACCTAACGGGTAACCGGGGCTCCGGCTCGACGTGCAGGAGAAGGAACGGGGTGGTTTTTAGTCAGTAAGAGTCTGACACTCCCTTCCGCCTCACCCAGGCGGGAGCAGTCATTCGATGATTTTCCCCCCTTAAAAAAAAAAAAAATACTTTTAATACTATACTATAAATTATACTTTTAATTTTCATACCCTGTCATCAATCATCATCCCTATTCTCTGCATGATCTCCTCCTCACGAAGTTATCAATCGCTTGACCTACGACATAGTTATTTACCTATCTATGTATAGGTATACTTACAGATAAAAGAAAATTGGAGTATATATTTGTAATATTAAAATCACCACTTTTTACGACACGCATATGAATATACATACGATACACATACCAAAATAACATATTTTACAATTTATGTTTGTCTGTCTGTCTGTCTGTTTGTACTGGCTAATCTTGGGAATGGCTGGACCGATTTTGACGGGGATTTTATTAGCAGATAGCTGATGTACCAAGGAGTAAAATAGGCTACTTTTATTTTGGAAAATTGAAACAAAAAAAGTTACATCCTAAAATTCATATTCTACGCGGACAAAGTCGCGGACAACAGCTTCGGAGTCACGGAGAACCTAACGGGTAACCGGGGCTCCGGCTCGACGTGCAGGAGAAGGAACAGGGTGGTTTTTAGTCAGTAAGAGTCTGACACTCCCTTCCGCCTCACCCAGGCGGGAGCAGACATTCGATGATTTTCCCCCCTTAAAAAAAAAGTGTAGTAAAGTAATGAAAGTAATCGAAAAAATTCCAATAATACCCTGCCTCTGTACATAAAATCGAATAGTTTGTTTGTTTGAATTTGCCAATGCCAGAAACTAGTTCGAAATGAAAAAAAAAAACTATTTTGTGTTGAATAGTCCACGGAGTTAGGCTATGGGGCTATAAACCACTCCCTCCCGCCTCACGCAGGCGGGAGCAGCCATTCGATGACTATCCCCCCTTAAAAAATGGGGCTATAAAACATCACGTTGCAATCAATAATTTAAGTGTGGGAGAGCCATGCTTCGGCACGAAAGGGCCGTCGCGACCAGAGTGATACCACGGCCGAACAGAAAACCGACGTGAAGCAACGCTTGCGTTGTGTTTCGTCGTTTGAGTGAGGTTACCGGAAGCCCAAGTACCCTCCCCTTCCCTAATCTCCCCAATCCTCGAATCCCTAACAATCCTCAAACTCCTAATCCCCAAAAGGCCAGTAACGCACGTTACACGCTACAGAAGAAGCGTTACACGCTTCTGGTGTTCTAGGTGTCCATGGGCGACGCCGATTGCTTACTATCAGGTGATCCGTCACCTCGTTTATCGGCTTATGCCATAAAAAAAAGAACTGACCAGCGAGTGAAACCGCGGGGGGAGCTAGTGAATAAATAAATATTACTTTCTATGTCTTCCAGGTGCTAAACCAGCCCGAGTCGCAATACGACGCGGAGAACGGCAACACTTCGACGGAGACGATATACCAGAACCCATCAGTCCAGGAGTTGTGGCCGGAGCAGAAGCGGGACGACAATGAACGCTGGGGGTATTGCGAGCAGGAAGTCAGTTGTGAGTAATCCTTACTTCCTTACTAATATTATAAATCTGAAAGTGAGTTTGTTTGTTTGTTTGTTGCGCTATAACGCCGTAACTACTGAACCGATTGCTTTGAATTTTTGCAGACGTAAAGTTAGAAGTCCGGATTAAATAACTATTATATATACTAGGGTACCTACTTTTTATCCCGGAAAAATTTGAAATTCCCGAGGGAAAACAAAAGTATTGGTATAGATGGCGCTGTATGTATTGGTATATGACACATAGGCTACTTTTTATCCTTTTGTGACGCGAGTGAAGCCGCGGGTAAAAGCTAGTCTTATATATCTATATATCTAGTCTTATATATATAAAAGAAAGTCGTGTTAGTTACACCACTTATAACTCAAGAACGGCAGAATAGATTTGGCTGAAAATTGGTAGGGAGGTAGCTTAGAGCCAGGAGACCGACATAGGATACTTTTAAACCAATACTTTTTTCTACTTTTTACCGAAAATCACGAACGGGGACGGGAAAAAATGGGATTACGCGTACGCAGTCGCGGGCAGAAGCTAGTTCACAATAAATACTAATTTAATAATTATAGTATTATTGAATTTTCATATGGGCCTTCGTTGCCTGATACAAATACAAATAAATTAATAAATGTCCATTTTCGCAAACTTCTCTGTCAAAAAAGTCAAAAGTCGAAATCATTTATTTAAATTAGACCAGTGAGGCACTTTTGAACGTGAACAAAAAATTTAACATACGCTTTTTTAGCCCTGAAGGGATAAGCTGAGGTGCACATTACGGTACCTATAGAGCAACACAGGCCACCGGCGGACCGGAGACGGTACCACATTACGGTGCGGTGCCACTGTACAATGTAACACCCACTTTTTACTATTTATGTTATGAGTCCCATTTAATAGGGGGTGAGCCTATTGCTATATGATTATACTCAGATTTTTTTAAGCAACCTAGTAATACGACCCGGGTATTGAACCTGAGACCCCTTGCCCGGCAGTCGCACTTGCAAGCACTCGGCCAACGAGACTGGCAAAAACTTTAAATGTTATGCTATTTGCTCATTCCTACACCCTTATGGAGAAGAACGAGCAAGAAACTCCATGTTACCTACTCTTTTTCAATCAGGTTTACAATATAATAGGGTAGGTTTTTAAATTTTATTTTAATGTCCGTCTGGTACATTATTTTAAAACTTTAGATACGTATTTTTTCTTTTCTAACAAAATTAAATATTTATTTCCATATACCTAACAATACCCATGTCTTTCTCTCCTACCAGTATCAGATGAGAGGGAGAGATCGGACAGTTTGCTGCGCTCGCGACGCAGACAAAGTACGGCAGCACTGTGCGAGGGAGATGACATGAAGCCTGCACTACTCAACTCTGTGGGGAACAGGTGATTTTGTGCTTTATTTTATAGGGCGTAGTGATTAGGTTGTCGATGGTTATAGTGTTTTGACTTTTGTACTGTGTGGTAAGCAGTGGTAAATAAATAGGTACTCAGTTTTCAACAGTTATGTGATGACGCCCATGATGTAATGAAAGGTGAGCCTGTTGCTATACCGGGCACAATAGGCCATTTTCTTATATCAACAATAAATTATGAAATTATATTACTTGGATAGTTTTCATCACGGAAAATGCAAATATAAAGTTATTTTCCCATGAAAACCTAAGGTTAATTTTATTTTTCAAAATTAAAATTGAGGTTTCATTATCTGTATGTCACGTGATTGAAAACGCCGACCGCCATGATGTGACGTCAATTTCACTAAAGCTCGTCGTCCGTCACTCGTTTTACAAACAACAAACTACTTACCTACCAGCGCTCATAGAAATTTAATATTTTTATTGAGTTTAATGTGTTTTGAAGCTTAAATTTAAAAGATTTAATATTTTAATACGTTAGTTTTACTTAATTAAAATGGACGTCGGTTTTGTAAAAGCCGAAAGTACTAATCTCCCGAAAATAGATGCGGTAATGATTGCAAAGTTCTTTGCGTGTAATACCGACTTTTTTTCTGCCGAATGCAGAAATATCAAAACAGCTATGTAAGTATAATGTATTTAAATTACAACTTGTATTTAAAACTAAATAGTTTTATTGTGTATGAAAGTATCCTTACGTGTTTTGAGGTTATGTGTAAACAATAAGTAGGTATCGTAACTTTTCATCTTTTTTTATAGGTCAGCCAGAGAAACGTATGGCGATGATGCTGTTGGGTATGTGCAGCTGAAAAGAGATCAGCAGACATGCGTTGTCAAATGCAAAATGTGTCCTGAACACAAAGTGCGTTCCAAGCCATACTCTTGCACACTTACTGTTGATGAACAGGAAGAAGAAATTAAAAGTGTAGTATGCCATGACTGTCCAGCATCTGAAGGTGGTTGTAAGCATGCTGTTGCTTTTTTAATGTGGTGTCATCGTCGGAGTGAAGAGCCACCTTGCACTGCTATTGAGTGCTATTGGAGGAAATCTACTTTATCTAAAGTTGGATCTTCTCTAAAAATATTACTTGCTAAGGACATATTGAAGAAAAGAAAAGGAAGTAGTACTCAAACCCCAGAAGTAGCACCACATAAAAGTGTCGCAGAAATCTTTGTGACTGAATGTAAAAAAAGAAAAATAAGCTCATGCCAGCTGCTCAAACATGAGATTAACTATGCTGAAAAAAAAATTAATATGCTTTCTTTACATTATTTGATGTGCAAATTTAATGAAAGACTGGATTGTAATTCATTTTTAAATAATATCAGTAGTGTATTTAATGATATTAACTTAAGAAATGCTGAAAAAGAGACAAGGCACCAGCATCAAACAAGCTTTTGGTATGAGCTACGTTATGGAAGAGTTACAGCATCAAAATGCTACGAAGTGAGCAAATGCAAAACTGTGGATGGCTCCTTAGTAGCGGCTATTCTTGGAGCAAGGACTCCACTAACTTCAGCAATGAAAAGAGGGCAAAAATTAGAAGAAAAAGTAAGGAAAACAGTAGAAAAAAAATTGGGCCATAAGATTGAAAAATGTGGTCTTTCTATTTCAGAAACATATCCTATGATTGCAGGCTCACCTGATGGCATCTATAAAAAAAGTACTTTGGTAGAAATAAAGTGCCCAACAAGTGTAAAAACTTTAACAAATTATATTAAGGATGGTGCTGTGACCAAAAAATATATGGCACAAGTGCAAATGCAAATGTTCTGTGCAAAAGCAGAAAAAAGTTTTTTTTTGTGTTGCAAGTAGTGATTTTGAGACTTCCAATGATGTCAGTATTGTAGAGGTGCAGTATGATAGAAAAGTAGTACAGGAACTTTTGGACAAAATTGTTCCTTTTTGGAAAAATAATATATATCCAATTTTGTATGAAAGTACCAAAATATAGAACTTGTAAGTATTTATGTGTATTGTTTTATTTTATATGCTTTAGCCCAAGGCTTCTACCACTAGCTACAGTACCTTGTCTTAGGATGAATCTTTATTACCTATGCCCCCGGACCTCAAACCACACCTTAGATAAAATCCTCAAACTTATCTCCTCTATACTGAGTTTTAACCAAACTTGTTCATAGGATAAAGAGAAAAGAAGTAACAGACAGACTGCCAGAGTTACTTTTGCATTTCTAACTAGCTCATGCAAGTTACCAAAATCATGAAAAACCTAATATTTCTACTACATGGTTATATCAATTACATACTGTCCACTTTAATGTAATAAATAGCATATGTCAATATCTGGTTTGAACAGTTGGCTGGGATATTATGGGTATAAATAAAAGTTTAAAAAAAATTGTATATGTATTTATTTAATAAGACTATCTTGTATGTTAATCAGAGCACATGCAGTAGTAATACATTCATCAAGAAGGTGAACTAAATTTATGTTAACCACAGAATGTGGTTTTAAAAAAGCAAACTCCCGGATTCTTCGGATCACCCTTTCCACATGAATCCGGAGGCTTGCTATTTCTTTTGTCTGACGTACCTCAGCTTTTGACAGTTTGGAACCACTACCAACACTTGGGGGCCTTAATAAAGTTATGTTCTTTTTAGACAAATATGTTTCAATGTGCTTGAATCCTCTGTCAGCTAAGACACATGTGTTTGATGGGAGAGTATCTAAAAATTTGGAGTGTTCGAATAAATGTACATCTGTTACTCTTCCGCCATATCCTGCAGATATAAAACTTATTAATCCATCTGGAGTACAAGCAACCAAATATTTTATTGTGTTGGCCTTCTTATACTCGGACCAAGTCAGTGCTTGGTGGACTGCATTAGTGGGTTTCTGTATTTCTATCTCCAAACAATCTATTATACAACTTACTTTATTATATCTATGTCTAAATGCTATTGGTAAATTTAATTTTATTGACTCCGTTGTAAACGATCTAATAAAAGGTAACATTACTTTACTGATTGGTATTATGTTGGTTGAAAAAAGTTTACTTGCTTGTGATAGTGACAAACCAAAATCATCAGATATTTGTGAAAATGAGCTATTTAGCCTAATTTTTGTCAAACACAACAAAATATTTGCCTCAGAAATGTTTGTCTGTGTTTGTATGATATTTAGTAAAAAATAAAGTTCCTTAGGGATACCAATATAGAGTCTAGGCTTTTTCTTTATTTTTAAGATTGTGTTTTCTAAGTTCGTTTTCTTGTCCCTCTGAATTTCTTCAGGCAAACTACTGTCAGATGTTGTGACTTTTATTGGAGAGAAGTCTTGACTCGTTGATCCAGATACTGATGGAGTAAATGATATCTCACTATCAGACTGGTCTTCGAACAAGGTAGACAATTTCCTTTTTGCTGGTCTTGTGATACCTGATGTACTTGGTACATCTATAGTGCTCATTTTAATGAGTGGTGAAGTGGCAACTGAGGTGCTTAACTTTATTGGAGATGTAGTGCTGTGCCGCACTTTTAAATTTATTTGTGTTGCTTTGCTTCTATAATGGGCAGATAAATTCACTTGGACAGCTTTGTATTCCATAACTGGCATTATCTGTACTTGAACTTCTTTATCTGCCTTGTGTGAAATATTTTCATCTTCCTCCACTTCCACAACATCTGAAAACAATAGATAAGAATCTGTAGAGCAGCCTTTCCATTGTAATAATTTAAAGTAATGCGATGGTGAGTGATCATCATTAAACTTAAGTTGAGTTAATAAAGTGGGCTGTATGGTTATTTATTAAAGCACTCTCTTGTGTTTGACTGGGATTACCTCTTGTATGACATGATGTAAATGGTGTTTGGCTGAGATTCACAACCTCTCTATGACACGATGTAAATGGTAGGATTTCAGTTAGAAACAAAATTTCCCTTTAGGTTTAAATATATTTTATCATTTTAGCACCATCAAAGCTTGGTAAATAAAATATACTTACGTATGTTGATGAACCAGGTTGTACACTTGTTGAAGAGCTCTCTGCTTCCTGGCCAGGACTCACAATGGGTATATTATTAAACTTAGATGGTATAATGCCAGGTTTCATTCTGATTTTCTTTACTGAGCCCATTATTTTATATTGCATATAATTTTCCATGTCTTGCTCTAGCTAAAAACAAATGTTAATAATTATTGTAGGTTATTTAGCTAAGCAGAGCAATGATACCGAGCTATGTAGTAAAAATAACCTCAAAGTCTCGTTTACATAGTAAAAAAGAGAGTAATATCGTAATTTAAATAAAAATCAATAAAAAAAGCTTATGTACTTACGTCAAAGTGATCCTCACAAAGATATAAATGAGATTTCTTAGAATATTTTACAGGATCTCGTCCCGCGAGTTCCAACCAAACATTTCTCATAGAAACGTCGGTCGGCACATTAATAAATAACTTTTCTGGAGTCTTCAACGTAGAATTTTTACAATTCAACGCTACACACCAACGATATGGGCTATAAAAACTCATTTTTACTTGAAATTAAATTATATTAAATCACTACAAGAGTACAAGACAAACTGGCATTTTGACATTTCTTCATTTTAGTTTATATGACGTCAGTCGCCGCCACCATCATGGCGGTCGGTGTTTTGGCGCGTATATTTTAAGTCAAATTTTTGATATATTTTTTTTAACATTTAGCAGGTATATTTTGCAGAAATAAAAATAATCCTTGATTATCTGATATATATGAGCATTTTAAAAAATATTTGAAAAAATAGGAGAATAGCCTATTCTAGACTTCATCCTATCTGTGTGACAACAACAACATAACATCACGCCTTTTATCCCCGAAGGGGTAGGCAGAGGTGCACACAGAAGTAACACCCACTTTTCACTATTTATGTTATGAGTCCCATGTAATAGGGGGTGAGCCTATCGTCATATACCAGGCACAATTCCAGACTCCGTGCTACTACTGAGAATTTTTTAAGACCCAGTAATAATTTGCCCTACCCGGGAATCGAACCCGAGACCCCTTGCCCGGCAGCCGCATTTGTGTATGTGTTTCTAAATACCAATAAAAGCTCTAATAAAAGTTTGCCCGACTCGGGAATCGAACCCGAGACCCCTTGATATCGATCGCAGTTGCGATTACGACGGCTCGATGGTTGAGTCCATTGAGTTATATGGCATAATAACAGAATGATTGGAAAACATAATTTCATACTACCTATTATTTTCTACACCGAATTCAATATAACAGCTCGATCCAAAGATTGGCTGTGAGAAATCGTCTTGTTTGTCTTTCTTTGTTCACAAGCCTAAGAGTATAAAAAAAATCAAAAAAATCTACATTAATTAATAGATACTATATGTATGGTTTTACCCCTAGGGCAACTAATAATAAAATCTACTAGTTTCGAACTACAGAGGGGTTCTTCCTCATGAGCAGCGTGCGACGTTTTTTTTATGGAATAGAAGGCAAACGAGCAGACGGATCACCTGATGGTAAGCGATCAGCGCCGCCCATGGACACTCGCAACTCCAGAGGAGTCACAGGTGCGTTGCCGGCCTTTTAAAAAAGGAATACGCTCTTTTCTTGAAGGTTTGAAGTCGTCGCCGTAGAACCCCTCTGTGGTTCGAAACTAGTAGAGCTTTTCTCAGAAGCTTTAGTACGAGTTTCTTTTACATTGAAAGTAATCGTAACGAGTACGCGTTCGGCGCTGTGATCGGCCGGCTTTAATGAACCAACCAATCAGAGCACAGAACGCCGTCTCGTTTTGTTCGAAATCTCTCTTTAACCGAAAAAGAACCTCGTACTAAGCCGTCTGTATATTCACGTGAGTAACCCGCGATTTTAGTCAATTTAGTATGTCTAACGCACGATAGTTATTATAAAAAGATAATAAATTCGTTTCTACACTTAACAGTGGCCCAACGAAATGTCCAAAAGGCCGTGGTACTTTGCTGACCCTGCTGTGGTCGCTGGCTCGACGCAAGAGGCGCGGTATGACCAACGACGAGCTCTACCTACGACACATTGACAGCGCACTTACTAACAACTGCACCTACAGGGAAAGCTGTCGGTGTTTAGAATGCCAGGTAAGGACATCTTTTTGATGAAATGTAGATAACCTATGCAGTACATCATTTTCAACAGTGTTATGTCAAAGTCAAAATCAAATCAATTATTTCAATTAAACCATAATTTGGTACTTTTGAAACGTCAACAAATCCTTACTAATATATTAATATTAATAATCGGAAAGTGAGTTTGTTTGTTTGTTCCGACTTCACGCCGTAACTACTAAACCAATTGCATTGAATTTTTGCAGACGTAAAGTTAGTAGTCTGGATTAAATAATAGGGTACATTTTATCCCGAAAAAATTTGATATTCCCGAGGGAAAACAAAAGTATTGGTATAGATGGCGCTGTATGTATTGGTATATGTCACATAGGCTACTTTTATCCTTTTGTGACGCGAGCGAAGCCGCGGGTAAAAGCTAGTACAAAATAAATAATAGTCTGTCAGTCAGTCCGTCAGTGAAGCTAGGTGAAGCTAGGTGCTGGATGGAGAAGAACGAGCAAGAAACTCCATTCGTTATTTAGAAAAGTATGTTCTACAATGTGTCTGATACATATTCCAATACTGTACGTATATGTGAGAACAATGCCAATGCAAAGACACGCTTGACGCATTATACTAATTACAAAACTTACTAAAATAAAAAACAAGAAAAAAATCTTGTAGTCTAACATGGTGCTCACATACATAATTATACTACGGGTCCTATAATAAGGGGGGGTGTGCCTATTGCCAACCAAAACTTTATGGTAATCGGTTAACGACTTATCATACCCTAAGTACTAAAAAAATACTCAAGATATTGGAGGATAAGAAGAAAGAAAGAAAAACAGTTTATTTACACCATTACAGAAAAGACAAGAAAAAAATACAGTAGAACCTCGATTAACCGGACTAAATTTTTGTCATTAGGCGTACGGATAATTGAAAATCCGGATAATCGAATGTATGAAGAAAAGCGAGTTTCTGCATACAAAAAAAAATAAAAATAATATATGTCGTAGGATAATTTGATACTTCGAATCTTCGCGGAAATCCTAGGGGTTTTGCGAAAACGCGGATAATTAGACATAGGCGAAAAATTATCAAATCTTACTGAACAAAGTCAGGATTTTTGCGAAAATACTCTTTACTTTAGTAAGATTGCGAAACGAGACGCTGGCTGTTATGAAATAAGAACGCTGATTGGTCGGTCAGCGTGATCAATAAGAGATCGTCTCTGATTGGTTGACGTCTTAAATGATTTTTCGTCGTCTTAAACGACCAGTTTCATCCAATTTATGGATTACACCCTAAAATTGGATCATTTTTTTTACTACGACTGAGATCTCCTATTGTCTGTAGAAAACAACATACATACTAAAATTTTCAATAAAAAGTTTATAAAAATCAATTTAGTGATTTTCCTTTCTCACCTATTCTAAACCTTCATATCTCTGTGATACAATACTTGAACTTAATCATCGGCAAACTAGGAACCAATTAGAAGTCAGCCAGCAAAATTGTAGCCAATCAGTGTTGAGCACATCAAATCTTACTATAGTAACGAGTATTTTCGCAAAAATCCTGACTTTGTCCAGTAAGATTTGATAATTTTTCGCCTATGTCTAATTATCCGCGTTTTCGCAAAACCCCTAGGATTTCCGCGAAGATTCGAAGTATCAAATTATCCTACGACATATACATTTATTTCAGGTGATCATAACCCATATTGTTACATTGTTAATCAAAAATCAGATGAAATAGATTGATATGACGTATGTAGGGACAGGCCACTCTACTTGCTATCATTGCCAGAGCGTCATTGGAGCTGGCCCGAATCGTGCGCACCAACGCACCTTTTTTGCGCATGTTACTGTTAAAGCAATCGGTGTTCGCTGCTGCAAACATGCCCGATGCGCTACCGGCTACAGAAACGAGGCAACCCCTAAACCGCCCTAAATGTATTGTTAAATTGGACATGAACGAAGGGAACTATAGGACTTTTGTAAATATTTTGCCCACAAGCGACACGTATACAAAGATGTGCAGAAGGTCCATATGCACATACCTATGTAGGTATGTACTGTTACGTGTTTATGAAAAGCAACAAATACATATCAAATAAAAACAACATTTATTAAGAAATTGTACATGATGGACCTACTTACGTACAATTTTTTTCCTTACAATAAAATTTGGTAATCATGAAAAAGTTCGTCGCTGTTGGCAGTCCGGATAATCGCTAATCCTTATAACTGAGAGCCGGATAATCGAGGTTCTACTGTAGTAAAAAAAAACAACAGTGTACACGGTGCACGGAGCGCGATTGCTCGAGTCGCGGCGCTGATTTTCAGCACTAGCCTTAAGGATTGGATTCAATATCAAGTAACCCGTAAATAAAGAGGTGACCTTCAGTTTTGGTCTCGAACATCTTTATTCTGCATCAAACAAATTTATTATTTCAGAATTTTGGTGTTTACCACTTTAAAACTACTTTATGATCCAGTTTGTAGTCATTATTATTTACATTACATCAGACTTAGCCTTTTGAACGCCAGAGCAAAAACGCATGAACTTGCCCTCAACGCCAGGCCACAAATTCACCGCAAATACCTACGAAAAAAATAGGGATTCCAAAACTTCATCGATAATCAATTTTATTTTCATTTTCGTCTTTAATTTCGAAATATAATGTCCTTATAACATTGAAATTTAATTCAACATTACATTTCTTCCTATTAAAGTAATAGTTATACACTATTTACAGACTTGTATAATACCGTAATAACAGATATGAGACTACAATATATTTAAATATAATAACTGTAGGTACAACACTATTCTTGATCTGCTGTTTCATATTGTGACCATGGCGTGGACGGCCCGCCATTTTAATAATACTTCGCTTCCGAAATAAGGATGTGGCAACGTAATATCTCGTTTATCGATGTTCAGTACAATATTATTTTATAATAAATGAAACACGTTTTTTAAATCAGATTTATAATTCCGAATGTAACAGGTACTTAAATATATGATTGATAGGTTAAGAGGTATAAATAAAACTATGAAAAAATGAAAAGTTTTAATAAAATGTCATACAGTATGTACTATGTATACATTGTTAAATATTAAGTTCTATAATCCTGGCATAAAAGTAACTAATTAAACAATTATCGATTATAGGTATAATTATATCACAATTACCAATCAGTCTTATACTATAATCTTTTGAATAATAGAACAAAATTATAGATTCTGTTTCCGAAAATTCTTGGTCATCTGAGACTCCTTCTAATATGCGAAGAAGTTCTTCCGTAGTTTCTTTTTTAAATTACATTCCCACTCATTATAATAGTCACTTAATATAAATCTTGAACTCGATATCACAAAGTAAATTAATCATAAATATTATTCATTCACTTCACTAATTTATGGTCGCCGCGCTTGTGACGTCACGATATTGTCGTCTAGCCGTGACCATGGCGTACAGGGTACTGATAATTCGGGTTGCGTTAGGGATGCGCTTGAGTTGGGATTAGTGAATATCGAAATTCGACCAACCAAATTTTATTTTTGACTATGTAGCTTATTGAATGATTTTTAAGACTGGTTTTATAAAATTAATGCTGCTTTATCCTAGTACCAAATTATACCTAAAATAATATATTCCAGAGGAAAGTTTCGAATCGATCTTTGATTTGAAATAATGATATTATCCAACATGCGCTACATCACTAGCGGTCACGCAGTTATGACTCTGGCGTGTGAGGACATTCTTTTTTCAGAGTTTATTTCTTTCTTTTTAACGTAAAATTTCTCAATATTTATAATGCAATTTAATTAGTTTTATGGAAATAAATAAATTTTGGACCTTCTATTTTACAGGTATATAAATAAATAGGCATTAAAGTAATGTTTAAATAGTTTATTTCGTGTTTTAATGTACCGCTGTTTTTGTCACATATTTGTGTCGTTGGCGCTCAGGGACAGTTTTCGCTTGTCACGTATTTGTGACCCTGGCGCTCAAAAGGTTAAATAACATCATTGTATTTCATTACTATAACTAGTCAAACAAGAATTTTTTAATGGGATAAGTCGGTAAACGGGCAGACGGATCACCTGATGGTAAGCAATCGGCGTCGCCCATGGACATCCGAAAAACCAGAGGCGTTACAAGTGCGTTACCGGCCTTTTGGGAATTAGGAGTTTGAGGATTGTGGGGGATACGGAATTAGGGAAACCTGGGAAGGGGGTAATTGAGTTTCCGGTAACCTCACACACGACAAAACACAACGCAAGCGTTGTTTCACGTCTGTTTTCTGTAAGGCCGTGGTATCACTCCGGTCGAGCCGGCCCATTCGTGCCGAAGCATGGCTCTCCTACACTTAAATTATATTATGAATATTAATTAATAATTACGTATCTCAATGAATTTGCACATAGAAGTCACTAGACTACCTCTATTACAAAGAAAGTATGTCAGTAGCGTCGTTGAAGCGAATTTGCATACATTTACATTCGTTATAGGTACCTAGACACACAGACAGGTGGCAATATATTAAAATTATTTGATTGTAAACGACACAGGAGAAAATCCTAGTGTGGGGCAACGATTTTTTTAGAAGAAGAAAAAACTTACGATGCAAGGTTTTATAGGAATAAATAAGGAATATGTTTATGTATTTAAACTGAAAAATCCCATTCCTAAATGGTCATCTAAACCAAGATCCATTCCTTGACCGGTACGGCCATTATGCCTTTCCCTGAAGAAGAGGTAGACAGAATTGACATATTAAATTCATCACCCACTTTTGACAAATTACAGAGTCTATAAATTGCATATTTACTGATAATTATTAGAAAAGTAAATAAAATTAGATTAGAATTAGACATCTATGACAAGGATTGGCCGTAAAAAGCTTTACATAGAGAGGAGTGGAAGGAGGGTAGAGAGGCCTTTGCCCTGCAGTGGGACAATCATGACTGAAAATAAATAATAAATAAATAAAAGTAGATTTTTAACATTTTTATAGCATTTATTTGTTAGATGATTGAATAATATGGCTTAGTTATCTTGTCAGTACATAATGTCTATAAAAATTCAGTATTATTTACATGAATGTATGTTTTCAGATGATACAGGCACGAATTTAGATTCCTTGTCGTATATTTAAAGCAATTAATCTTTAATTTAAATAGTTTGTCATACTTTTTAAAACAGGGTTTCCTAATTTTTATACCTAAATAAAGAATGTTGGTAATGTTAAATACCATAACCAAAAATGTTGCATTTTAACAACTAATTAATGTTTTTTACGGTCAAAATATGCTTTTCGGAAACCCTGTCTCAAAAACTGCTCACACATTTGCGACGAGTCACATTTTTTTATACCTATCTAAACATTTTTTTTTATATAGCAAAATATAATATTTTTTTTATACAATTTGGAAGCATAAAGTCTTATTTTAAACTCAATTTTTTTTTACATGGGTGCATTTGTGTACTTTCAACAAATCCTATATTGCAGTTTCTTCAATCAATTTTGAGCTCTATTTACAAAGATTTAAGAGAGGTATCGAAAGCATAAGCAGAGAGGTATTATGTTCCCAACACGCTTTATTTACTGTAGTTATTGTGTATCTTATGTCAAGGTAATTGCGGTTAAAATAGCACAACACAAATGCTTATACAATTTTGTTATTATAAAATAAACATTTGCGACCAAACGCATCCATGTAAAAACTATAAATAACAGTCGTTAAAATCGCACGACCAAGTCGCTAATTTGCAAGCAGAACTTCTCTAATAAAATTTACAAAAAAAAAAACAATGATTTTAAAGCCAATTCATTGCTTATAAAAAATTTTAATTTACAAATTTGTCAATGTCATATTCTAATGTGTCCGTTATTTCAGTTTGCACTTCGTCAACGGTCTTCTTCCGTTCCTCTAATCGAAGACATTTAAGACACTTCTGCCCTTTCCGTAGCCAACAACCTCTATGATACATGGAATTACACTTATCACACATCAAAGCTCCGCTGTCAAACGGATACAAAACCTCGTTATTCTTACATACCTCACAAAGGTACCCCTTCCCAGAACAAAGATCACAGCTCGTTATATGTGACCGACACACTTCCGTTAGCTCCGTTAACTGTGTCTCTAAAGACCCATCGTTAATAGCTTGCAAATGACTCATGCTGTACTTCTTGTTGACGTCCCCAAGTTGCACAAATAACGGTGATAATAAGTTTGTGCCATCTGCACAAGCACAGAGGTATCGTCGCATCCATTCCAAGTCTTTCCTCATCTTGTGCACCCATTCTAACTCTGCTATGAAGTTGAATAACCTGGGGTTTATCTTCTCTACGTCAATATATGGTCTGGACCACGATAAGTTCAGCATTTGGTATGCTATTCGAGAGACATACCGTTTTTCCCAATCCCAATTATGTATCACTCGCGCAGGTATTGCAGATAAATCATTCCAGTGGCATGTAGCACAGAAATACAAGCCTGTATAGTCACATAGCCGTGGTTCATTCCACATGTCCTTGAAGGTTAATGCAGTTTGGCACTCTGCGCATTTGTAGTCTTGCGCTGCTAAGCCTTTTTCGGGACATATACTCATTTCGAAGCTACCTTTTTCTGTCATAACAACATGAGCACATACTCGGCATATGTGATCTACACATTTATAATGACACAGGTATCCACAATCACTGCATATATAGGACCCTTGCACTATACTCCAAATGACTCCGCTACAGTGGTCGCAGTACTGCTTACGGTTTGAAGGATTAGTTTGCTGCTCAAAGTGATGTCCCTTTATGGAAACGCGCAATCTCGCTTGCCCATTATTGTCTTTAATATCTTCCAAACGTAATCTTAATTCTACAAGGTACCTTACAAGCCATTTGCGCTCGTCTGAACATTGTGCCGTGTTTAAAACGAGTTCCTTGCACTGTATTATAGCTTTTTCTATCTCTACCTTAGTCGCGGAACTGTGGATCTTCAACTTTTTATTCGCAATAGATTTTGGTATGCAATTCGAGTCGTATCCTTCGTCAATGGAAACGTTCCCTGATGTTGAAGATGTTGAGGTTCTAGAAGTAGCTTCTACGCTCGGGCTGCAGCATATCAAGCTGTTCCTGTATTTAGGCGAGTCGTTCGCGATGGCTGCTGCCATGGTCGTTCAATTTTACACAAAGGATGATCAACAATTACAATTATATCTCGCGTACATTTGCGTAAAATTTTGCAATCCGCACGTCAATGATTTTCTGGTTTAGTCAAGCACACAACTGTTATCTTGCATTACGTCTCATTTCAACTCTGATTCAGTTGTGTTTTGATAGCGATTCGTAGTTTTTTCTACGTCCGTATCACAAATATCACAATAACTCTGTTGTCGTCATTTTTTTGACAGATGAATTAATTATTCGTTTCTGTATGTTGGTAGAATTGAGTGCGTTCCGTTTAGTGCAGAAAAGAAAAAGTGTTAATTATATTTCACGTTTAAATTATTTCTATTATTCAAATTTTAATAACAGTTGTGAAATAATAGCCAAATCAGAGTATTTATATTCAACAAAACGTGTCTTATGTAATAAACTTTTAGTCGAAAATCATAAACATAATTTGAGTCGCCAATTTAACGTCGAACGAAACGTAACTCCACAGCGCAGGCGTACCAAACTCACGTCAATAACTTTTATCAGTCAGCTGTCAACACAAAGCAACTCATTGCGTTTATCTAGCAAATTTTTCAGCATACATTGCTTCTAAACTATCAAATATTGTACTGCAACTAATCTATCTTCTAAACAAAACCATTAATGTATGCTAAAAAAGTTCAACCTAGAGTATTTTAATTTGCAAGCTGCGTAAATGAGATCAGCTTCTATATTTGTGTCCATTACCTAGTTTATAGGTACTTAAGCAATGACCTATGACCATACACGTGCTATATTAATCTTTGTATTACATATTGATAAATGTTACATTATTCTAATGGATATTAGTAGGTTTTTAGACTTTGTAATGAATTAGGTAATACGGATTTAATGTACCTACCTAATGACCTTAATTTATTATTGGCGCGCTAAATTGTTTGTCTATTGATAAAGTTTAGTTGTCTAAGTTAGTAAAGTTTTTATCTTTATCATAAGGGCCCGTGCCCAGGGCCCCCTATACCCAGGGAGCCCCGAAGGGCGGATAATTTCAGAATTTCTACGACGGCGACACACCCGCTGTAGAGCAAACGTGTAGCGGGTTCAATTCACGCACGGAGCAAATCTTTCTGTGCTCCACAAATTGTTGTTTAGAGTCTGGGCTGGGTGTCATGTGTATGTGAACTTGTTTGTTTGTAAATGCATCCACGATACAGTAGAAAATCCTAGTGTGGGGCAACGTTAAAAAACTATTAAGTACAAAAAGGTCTTGAATTATTGTGTACCTAGGGAACCCAGCGCAATCTAAGATGGCCCCTAAGCACCTACTTACTTAGTAAGTTCAAAGTTAAAGTCAAATAGGCCCTCTTACATGTGACTCGTAACAGGAGTGAAAAATGGGTGTTACATTGTTTATGTGGACCTCTGTCTACCCCTTCGGAGATTAACTCGTCGAGTACCGGTTTTATAGACACAATTAAAGAACAATAGGTCGCGGTCACCGGTGACCGCTTGGTGTTTGACAGTTTAAAAGATATTTTTTTTATTATTTTTTTTATTTTATTCCCAGCAATATCCTTACAGACTAATCCAAATCGATATTGAGGCCTCTTATATCTAAATTACAAACTAAAATTTTTAACTAACTAACCATAACAAATGCTTTGAAGTGCTACTTTAGTGAATTCACTCAGAGTGCAATAAAACATATCAACGTCTTCAGCTAAGAGGTTGAGCGTGCGCAGCGCGCGCGTCAGAGGCTATCACTACATAGTATAAAACAAAGTCGCTATCCGCCGTCTGTCTGTCCCTATGTATGCTTAGATCTTTAAAACTACGCAACGGATTTTGATGCTGTGGTCAAACTTGCAGCTCCATCGAGACTTGGCTAGTTTATTACAGAATGTGGGATTGAAGTGTTTTCTCCATAAGTAGGCCCTCCAGGCACCTAGGTACGGTCGGCATCTAAAGTTGATAAACACAATTAGATTTTAAAAATAGCTGTAATATATAATATATATCCCTGTCGCGGAGAACCGGGTAACCGGGGCTCCTCCGGCTCGAAGTGCAGAAGTAGGAACGGGGTGGTTTTTAGTCAGTAACAGTCTGATACTACCTCCCGCCTCACCCAGGCGGGAGCAGTCATTCGATGATTTTCCCCCCTTAAAAAAATATATATATCCCTAAACCGGCGCTGTACAGCGAGTTTGAAAATCTAAATATACAGGATAATGACTTGTAACTCGACGTATTCCTCTCGGGAGGTGATAATATACTAATACAAAATTAGCCCTGAGGTCTCTGGTCTGGAATTTGAGGATTGTTGGGGATATTCTCCCCAGGAGAAAGGGGAGGGGGGAGGTAATTGGGCCTCACGTAACCTCACTCGAGAGACGAAACACAACACAAGCGAGGCCACATTTCCTACACGGCATCATATTAATCGTGTATTTTGTTCCAGAGCCGCTATTTCGAGTGTGACGAAGAGAGCGAGGACTACAGCTCTGACGAGGACAGCTACGTGCCGCGGTACGTCGTGGAGGCCATGGAGGCTCACCACCAGCTGCCCGAGTCTGACGATGACGAGGTACGGAACTGATTTAGCTATCATCATCATCTTGCAAGACGTTCGCTTTATGAAAGAATATAGCAGACGGATTTACTGATGGTAAGCAATCAGCGCGTGGACGCCCGCAACAACAAGGGCGTTTACAAGTACGTTGTCAGCCTTGAGCCTATTGAAGACTACCGTTTGGGGATTGGGGATTTGGAGATTAGGGATTTGGAGATTGGTGGTTGGGAGATTGGGGATTGGGAGAATAAGGATTTGTAGTTTGGGGTTTTGGAGATTGTTGGTTTGTAGTTTGGGGTTTTGGAGATTAGGGATTTGGAGAATAAGGATTTGTAGTTTGGGGTTTTGGAGATTGGGGGTTTGGAGTTTGGGGATTTGGTGTTTGGGAATTTTGAGATTGAAGATTTTGATATTGGGGTTTTGGAGTTTGGGGATTTGGAGATTGGTAATGGGGACAAGGATTAGGTCACAGGGTTGGCAGTAATAGTAGGTAAGCTAATTGCGGTACATCGGGGCCCGAGTGAGAATTATCGAACTCTAAGACCTCTTATTTGTCAGTTTCACCTGTGACAGCATGCTTGATACAATGGGGATGATGACAGGGTATGAAAATTAAAAATATAATTAGTCCGTAAGTTAGGTAATGAAAAAATATTAGACACGTATTTTTTTATTTTGTCGTATAATAAAACAATACTTAGATAAAACGAATCAAAGTTTAGGAGTGGGGGCTAAAACGTCATTCCTTAGTATAAAATGTACTGAGAAGTGACGTCACGCGACATTTCAAATCAATATATCGTCGAAAGTATTCGTTTCTGTGAGAAAATAAAAAATACGTGTCTAATGTTTTTAAATAATCTATCAGACGGACATTAAAATAAAAATTAGTCGTCTACCCCATTACATTATTACCCAAAATGATAGACAGAGAGTGATAAAGAGATGATATATATATTTATTATCATTTGCCTTTTTCCAGGTTTTCGTAGACACAGTCCCCGGAGACAACACATCCACAGACATGTTATTGGATGACAAGAAGATGTCAGTGTCATCCGACGAGCCTATAACGGAAACGGATGCTGACGCCGAAGATAAACTGCAGCTAGAGGTCGCTGCCGGTACCCCGGTACTATTAAATTACTTGTTGACCCATCCTATAACGTGTACCATACAGTAATCAGTAGTTGATAGACATGTACAGAGGCTAATCAAACCTAGCTTTTACCCGCGGCTTTGCTCGCGTCACAAAAGGATAAAAAGTAGCATATGTGACATATACCAATACACACAGCGCCATCTATACCAATACTTTTGTTTTCCTTTGGAAATATCAAGTTTTCCGGGATAAAAAGTACCCTATTATTTAATCCGGACTTCTAACTTTACGTCTGCAAAAATTCAAAGCAATCGGTTAAGTAGTTACGGCGTGAAAGCGGAACAAACAAACAAATAAACAAACTCACTTTCCGATTTATAATATTAAGTAAGGATGTAGTCCCTGCTGACCAAAGCCCTCTTCTCACACGGACAAGGTTAGAGCATTAATCACCACGCTTGCTCAATGCGGGTTGGCGATTGCAAACTTATAATTAGAAATTATAAGCCCAGGTTTCCTCACGATGTTTTCCTGCACCGTTTGTCTAAATATTTTAGAAAGTGTGGGAGAGCCATGCTTCGGCACGAATGGGCCGGCTCGACCGGAGTGATACCACGGCCGAGCAGAAAACCGACGTGAAGCAACGCTCGCGTTGTGTTTCTTCGTGTGAGTGAGGTTACCCCCCTTCCTCAATCTCCCCAATCCCTGAATCCCCAACGATCCTCAAACTCCTAATCCCGAAAAGGCGGGTAACGCACATGTAACGCCTCTGGTGTTCCAGGTGTCCATGGGCGACGCCGATTGTTAACCATCAGGTGATCCGTCTGCTCGTTTACCGGCTTATCCCATAAAAAAGTACATATAACTCGGAAACAGTCACATTGGTATTTACTGTTGATAGGTTTAGAAACCGCGCCCTTATGCGTAAGAAGCACCCTAAAACTCACCTCATCTAACCTCATAGGCGCCCTTAATTACATGGTCGCTTGAGCACGCATGTCTCAGCGCTCATCTAGACCTTGGCGCCCTAGCCACTTGTATAGTTTGCCTTAGGGTTGTTTTTTTTAAGGGGGGAAAATCATCGAATGACTGCTCCCGCCTGGGTGAGGCGGAAGGGAGTGTCAGACTCTTACTGACTAAAAACCACCCCGTTCCTACTCCTGCACGTCGAGCCGGAGCCCTGGTAACCCGTTAGGTTCTCCGCGACTCCGAATCGGCATCGGCCCTGTTGGGCCCCATCTGTGGTGGTCTGATGGCTCTTTGAGGCGCGCGCTGAACGCGACGCGCCGTACGTTCGGGTTGCCTTAATGCGGCTCTGAACATATGTATGAGAACGATATGGATACATCTATGACGGTGGGTGGCAGTTTTGTGACAATGTTGTTCGGTCTATGACGAGTGTTGATGAAGCTATGGAATAAATTTCACGGTGTATTTATTACACATGACGTTTCATGTGTAATAAATACACCGTGAAATTTATTAAGTTTTTATCCCGCATCGATAACAACTTGCCATAAGGAGTACTTTCGATGTATAAAGTAAAAACGAAAAAATAAATGTGTCATTTTTTTTAACATAACGTAACATAACATCACGCCTTTTAGCCCCGAAGGGGTAGGCAGAGGTGTACACAGAAGTAACAACCACTTTTCACTATTTATGTTATGAGTCCCATGTAATAGGGGTGAGCCTATTGCCATATACCGGGCACATATCCAGATTCCGTACTTTGCCCGACCCGGGAATCAAACCCGAGACCTCTTGTCCGGTAGTCGCACTTGCCACCACTCGGCCATCGATCGAGGCAGATTTTTTGTTAAAAATATATATTTTATTGGAATACGCACATGAAACACTATAAATTTTGTAGGCTTTTTTAAGTGTGGGAAAGCCATGCTTCGGCACGAATGGGCCGGCTCGACCGGAGTGATACCACGGCCTCACAGAAAACCGACGTGAAGCAACGCTTGCGTTGTGTTTCGTCGTGTGACTGAGGCTACCGGAGGCCCAATTACCCTCCCCTTCCCCAATCACCGCAATTCCTGAATCTTCGAGAATTACATGGCGTGGTGTTTTGATAACGAACTATCGATATGAGTTCGTGTGCGCTTTCGAAGTTTGCTTTTTGCAGTGGTTCACCAGTTATTTTTTGTTTTAAACAAATTATTTCTTTGTAAAACTATTGTATTACTAAGACATAACCATTTTACTTCGCGACGAAAACTAAATAGATTTCACGGTGTACTTATTTGTTATATAATAATTGACTTCAACTTTGATTACATGTCAAATGCCTATTAATGTTATGAAATACAATGACAAAAGCTACTGCAAATAATATTGTGCTTTATCATCATTTTTATCCAGTGGCGTAGCGAGCGTTGATGGGGCCTCGTGTAAAAAAGAAAATAGCGTGCCCCCAAACAATTTTTTAGTTTGGGCGACCTCAATTGTTTATAGGAAAAGTATTTCTCATTAAATGCACAGAGAAAACATATTGTAAAAGGCCTGTTGCCGCCAATGTTCCAAGATGAATTTAGAAAGATTACATCAAAATCTATAAAATCAATCTTTTCAACACTCCCTGTTATCTTTCCATGCAACCCCCGTATTTCTGCTCAAATTATTATAAGATTATGATGACTAAAGTTAGTTTTTTTTTATGTTCTGCCGATTTTTAAATGCATGCTTTACGCGGAAAAATATTAATTACTTATTATGATTACTGTGATTTATTTTTGAAATAAATTAAAAAGTTTTTATTAACTTTTATTTTATAATTGCCTAGTGACCCGCTCCGGCTTCACACGGGTGCAATATGCATGCATTATACATATAAACCTTCCTTAAGAATCTCTCTATCTGTTAAAGAAAACTGCATCAAAATCCGTTGCGTAGTTTTAAAGATATAAGTATACATAGGGGCAGACAGATGGCGGATAGCGACTTTGTTTTATACTATGTAGTGATACTGCAGATAGGTACGGCGCTAGCTACGCCACTGTTTTTATTAACATCTGATTTAATATACTAACGATTCAAGCCTATGTGACATATACCAATACATACAGCGCCATCTATACCAATACTTTTGTTTTCCCTCGGGAATATCAATTTTTTCGGGATAAAAAGTACCCTATTATTTAATCCAGACTTCTAACTTTACGTCTGCAAAAATTCAAAGCAATCGGTTGAGTAGTTACGGCGTGAAGGTGGAACAAACAAACAAACAAACAAACTCACTTTCAGATTTATAATATTAGTAAGGATAAGGATACTAACGATTCAAGCTTCTAATTCAAATACAGGTAATTAAAATCATATTTACAGAAACTAAGTTCCTTTTCAATGTCAAATTTAAATAAATATTTGTAATATAATAGGTATTCTCATTAGATATTATTATAGGTAGTTATTTATTACTTATGTATGTTATTAGATAATTTTAGACGCCGCCTTTTTAAAATATGCAGTGATATTCTAAAAAACAGCTCATGTAGTGTAGATGTCCAGTCAACAAGGATGTCGCGAGGTTGACAGTCCAGGCAACACACGTATTTAGGTATCATCATGACCTAATGTTGACATGTAAACAGCAGCTCATGTAACTTAAAATTCAGTAAACGGACGGGCCCCATGGGGCCCAGTGATTTATACATGTTTGATCTGTATTGGGCCCCAGTGATAATCTACAGGCCCCTTAAATATCACTGTTTTAAAATAGTATTCCTAATAGTATTGTAGTTTTTAAGCAAATGTGTTTGTGAGTTCCTAAGCTAATATTATTTATACGTAGATTGAAGCTAAGTTTTATTAAGTTTATAATTGGTAGGTATGATATTAGAATTAGTTACACGCTTTATTGTATTTTAGATAGCTTTGAATTGAAGTTTACTGGTCAATCGAGAGAATGTATCGAAGATATTATTTAATTAAGATATTCGTAAAAAAATACTTAAGCTTGTCCTAATGCGAAGGTACTTGAAGTAAACACATTGTCTTTTTACATAGCCTTTAATCAGACGTCATCTTTTAACAATACCGATCCTTTTCATTAATATTTAATTCAATAACATATTGTACATGTATGTGAAATAGTCTTAACGAGATACTTAGATCATGTGATTAAAATATATTAGAAATTGGACTATTTATTCCATTTTCTACTTTAATGTATCTCATATAAGCTGTAAATTAATAACAATCATGTTGTCATGTAGTTTGTAAGGTTTTGACTTGATAGAAAGTATTGACGATTAAAAAGTATGAAAATATCCATTTAGTTCGATTGAAGAAGAACAATATATATAGACACGTATTCTTAGTTATGTCGAAATAAATAATTTAAACCTTGAACCGACAAGAAGTCTCTCACGTATGAAAATGATTTCTCCATGTTGCACTTGTGTTGGTAATATTATATGACATTTTAAATCGATGAGTTTGTAAAAAAGAGAAATAAGCGTCCAATTTTATTCTTTATTTGAAAAATATTTATCGTCTCTGTTTCGTATAGTTCTTATTCTGGACAAGCAATTCATTATAGATTTCAGTAGTTTAAGTTTAGAACTTAATTAAAATGTAAGCCAAAGCTACGCCATTTTTGCTACAAACTTTATTTATTTCTTAAATATTGTAAGTTAATTTAAGTATATGCTTGTAAAATAATGTGATTTAAATTAATAAAGTGTATAATGTAATTGAAGTGTTATTCTTTCAATAACTTAACATCAGGCCTTTTATCCCTGAATGGGTAGGCAGAGGTGCATATTACAGCACTGCCATTGTACAATGCAAACCCTATTTTTCACTATTTATGTTATGAGTCCCATGTAATAAGTAGTGAGCCTAGTGCCATATACCGGGCACATATTCAGACTCCGAGCTACTACTGAGATTATTGAAAAACACTTCCAAGTAATACTTTGCCCGATCCGGGAATCCTTACCTACCCGCCAATGAGGCAGTCTTTCATAGTAAACATGACATTATGTTAAAAATTTGCCAATATTCTAGACTCCGTACTGTCAATTCCTAAAATCGATCAAAAATATAACTATTTGATTGATCCAAATATTTGAGTCAAACTTAATACATTATTATATACTTAGGTACATT